CCTCCATCACTTCCACCCATCCTTTGAAGTCAATCAGACCTCCTTTGGCTGCCAAATTCGTGGGTTGACCCCCACCCATGTGGGAGGTCAACCCTTTTGTCCAGAAATGTACAATCGGTCTCGAAAGTTGTATTTTTCGGACTGTTTTAATTTTTATTTTATTTTATCGGGTCAAATAAAATATATTATGTGTTCTCCATCATTATGACTCTTATAATGAATATTCATTCCCAAACTTTAATTTATAAGCCCCCGAAATTTAATTTCGGGCTTTTATCGGTTAAATCGCCAATACCGGTATTTGGGCCTCTTTTGACCAATCGGTCAACTCTGTACCTTTCCATGGCTCAAATGAGTTATCCACCACCATATAACTATTATCTAGACCAAGATGAATAATTTATGGGGTCCCGGGAATATTGGGCGGTCCCCGCTCCCGGTGTGGGCCCCACGTGCGAATTTACTATTCACGCAAATTAATTAATAAAAATTCACAACTTCGAATACTCGTTAACCATTCCATAAGTTCAATACATTATTCTCTTAAAAGTAAATACTTTTTGGGGACGGTGTTACAGTTACCACTCGTCGCTTCTTAGGTTCACCCCTTCTTACCTCTAGAAACCATTCCCTTGACAACAATACAACATAATTATGGCTAACCCCATTTTCATTCAAAACCATAAAACCATCTCTCCTTTACGCATGTCCACACAGGCTTCTCCCAACCCTGTGTTGGGAGAAATGTGTTACGCATAAGGCTTCTCCCAACCCATGAACCCGAGTAAATATTGAAGGGCAGAAATGATCAACATGTTTTAACACCCGGTTGGGTGTGTGTTTCGAAAAACAAAGAAAATTAATTAATAAAAATTAATTAAATAAAATGACAAAAGAAAACCAGAAAATAGATGAGGTAGAAATAGTCAAAGCTCGTGCAACGCACGATTTCCTTAAAACATATTCCTTGCCTCCCGGGGTGCTAGGAGCGTTGCAACGATCGTTTCCCAGGATACAATGACTTCGAACAATTGCTTGAGCACTCAAACGAATTGTCCCGGCGAATGAGAACAAATATGAACATGATGGAATATTTTCATAATGCTACAGGTATTTTTCGAGGTGCAGAAACGTGCATGGAGTGTATGAAAACTGTGTGTCGTTGTAAACCACTTGCCAGCCTTTTATAGGGGAGGATATGGGTGTGTTAATGGATGTTTAAGGCACATGAAATAGGAACGTAACGGAACAACAAAAGTTAACGTAAGGAGCGTTGCAACAAAAAGGAACGTAACGGAAGAACAAAAGTTAACGTTAGGAGCGTTGAAAAAAATAGGAACGTAACGGAAGAACAAAAGTTAACGTTAGGAGCGTTGCAAAAAATAGGAACGTAACGAAAGAACAAAAGTTAACGTTAGGAGCGTTGCACCAAATAGGAACGTAACGGAAGAACAAAAGTTAATGTTATCTTTAGAAGATATATTTTCGGACGGCATTTGTGTCTGCAAGTTGCCCGCACACGCAAGTCGCGCTTTTTGTTCTCCGGTTTCAGGATTTGATTCACCCCCGTGTGAGAGAGAGTCTTTCCCTTCAGGAATCATAACTCCTTATAGGGGGTTTGCCTTTACAAAGGGTTTTCCGGTTGGGAAAACCCACACTAGAAACCCACCCTTTCTTAGTTTTCTCCATTTCATCGTGTGAACTTCGAGAATCAATTTTTCATTCACCCGTTATCCGTTTTGAGCATACCATATATCGAATTGTAGCCTAAGCAAGGACAATCCGAAACCACTTTGACCCGACACGAATCGGAAGTGCGCTTCACTCAAAAATTGCCCCAAAATGACCATTTAATGCAATTTATTAACACATTTTCCAACACAACCCACATATAAAAAAGAAATTGGGAAGCCTATCCTACTTAATCTGTCGATAATCAATTCTCGCCCTCTTGTCTAACCTTCATCCTTCTCTTCAACGAGGTCTTCTTATTAGCTGATACTCTAATGCAAACCTAAGATATCATGCTCCTCCTGTTGTGCATTTGTCAATCATAATACAGCCGATCTTTTCCATTGCACCACAAAAATAAGACACAAAAACGAAAAAGAACAAAAGTTACCAACTTGTTACAACGAAAGAAGAAAACAAACGCTCACTAGGAACGTATGAAAAACTTTATAAGTATTTAAAAGTATTTAAAAAACGAAGGGGGGAGATGACAAACAAGTGAAACAACTAGCCATTGCTATTATAACTGGGGGCCGCCAGTCTCTTTCTCGCGCTGGGTGATCAGAAAAACGAAGAGAAATAGCTCCGCCAAGGGTTTAACATAAGTAGGGCCGGAAGTTGTTACATAATTGCTCTATTGTAGTTATGCTCATATATTTTAATAAAACGGGGCTATGACCATTCAAAAGTTCCAATATCACAAAAGTAGGAATAGAGATACATATAAAAGGAACATAATATTTTATTATGAATAAAATATATTTCAACTAAATCTGTTGATATGTACGTCTTCGGTCTTCCTCATTGAGTGTTGCATTGCTCTTCAATTTTGCCCGTGATGTCATATATGGACTTCCAAGAGAATTGATCCGGATAGTGATGGACCCGGGCCGGGGCCGGGTCAGCCTAGGCCCGGGTCAGGCCTAGGCCCGGGCGGGCCGGCGGTTCAGGATTGGTGGACCTGGGACCGGCCCGGGTAGCGACCGGGTCCGGTCCGGGCAGGGCCTCCGGTTTTTTTTTTTTTTTTTTTTTTTTTTTTTTTTTTTTTTTTGCTTTCCTAACCCCCCCACCCCCCCAAACCTCCCAAACCACAAGCCCAACCTGGGTGGAACCCCAAAATATGAAAAAAAAAATCAATTTGGCTTGGACCCGGGCCCGACCTGGCCGGGCCGGTTTGCCAAATGTGAGACCCGAGCCCGGACCCACCCCCCCCGAGCCTAGGCCCGACCCGGACCTGGACCCGAGAACTGGGCCGGTCCCGGTCCGCACAGTAGCGGGCCGGTCCGGTCCACGGGCCGGGTGGCCCGACCCGAGTCCACCACTAGATCCCCAGAGCATCCCCGTATTCGGATGAGCCCTTGGGAAAGAGCTCTCATCACCCGAGGGCGAAGCCCTCGGCCTCGGCTCAGAGGACCCTCGGTCCTCCATCTTTTAGCGCCCACTTACTCCACTTAATGCTCCGCCATGTGTCTGGATATGTCTTACATCGGAGCTCTCCCCCCATATACTAGCTTACACATGTACATGCATTTAATGCACTTGACATTTATGACTACTATAAATATCTGTCACTTGCACTTCATTAATACTTTTGAAAATCATTAATAATACTTGCACTTCTCTCTCTAGCTTACTAACTCTGTCTTTTTTCTACATATTGGTATCTTGGTTTGGCTAGCTATCAGGTTGTAGATAGGAGTAAAGCATGAGTAAATTGCATCAATAAAAGTCACACATGTGAACTAAAATTAGGATTCATTTAGTCATATTAAAAGAATAACACTTAAACTCCTTTTTTAAAAGTGAATACTCATTTTTTTAAAGAAACAATGGTCGTCCTATTTGAAAAATATGTTATAATGTTTAGTCATATCTATTGAATTTTGTTTGTTAAGTTCTCGATTTCTTATACACTAAGTTTTTTTAATAGGAATTAGGAACAATTGTTATTTATAAAATGTATACAAAATAAATAATTTAGTTGAAATATATTTTATTCATAATAAAATATTATGTTCCTTTTATATGTATCTCTATTCCTACTTTTGTGATATTGGAACTTTTGAATGGTCATAGCCCCGTTTTATTAAAATATATGAGCATAACTACAATAGAGCAATTATGTAACAACTTCCGGCCCTACTTATGTTAAACCCTTGGCGGAGCTATTTCTCTTCGTTTTTCTGATCACCCAGCGCGAGAAAGAGACTGGCGGCCCCCAGTTATAATAGCAATGGCTAGTTGTTTCACTTGTTTGTCATCTCCCCCCTTCGTTTTTTAAATACTTTTAAATACTTATAAAGTTTTTCATACGTTCCTAGTGAGCGTTTGTTTTCTTCTTTCGTTGTAACAAGTTGGTAACTTTTGTTCTTTTTCGTTTTTGTGTCTTATTTTTGTGGTGCAATGGAAAAGATCGGCTGTATTATGATTGACAAATGCACAACAGGAGGAGCATGATATCTTAGGTTTGCATTAGAGTATCAGCTAATAAGAAGACCTCGTTGAAGAGAAGGATGAAGGTTAGACAAGAGGGCGAGAATTGATTATCGACAGATTAAGTAGGATAGGCTTCCCAATTTCTTTTTTATATGTGGGTTGTGTTGGAAAATGTGTTAATAAATTGCATTAAATGGTCATTTTGGGGCAATTTTTGAGTGAAGCGCACTTCCGATTCGTGTCGGGTCAAAGTGGTTTCGGATTGTCCTTGCTTAGGCTACAATTCGATATATGGTATGCTCAAAACGGATAACGGGTGAATGAAAAATTGATTCTCGAAGTTCACACGATGAAATGGAGAAAACTAAGAAAGGGTGGGTTTCTAGTGTGGTTTTTCCCAACCGGAAAACCCTTTGTAAAGGCAAACCCCCTATAAGGAGTTATGATTCCTGAAGGGAAAGACTCTCTCTCACACGGGGGTGAATCAAATCCTGAAACCGGAGAACAAAAAGCGCGACTTGCGTGTGCGGGCAACTTGCAGACACAAATGCCGTCCGAAAATATATCTTCTAAAGATAACATTAACTTTTGTTCTTCCGTTACGTTCCTATTTGGTGCAACGCTCCTAACGTTAACTTTTGTTCTTTCGTTACGTTCCTATTTTTTGCAACGCTCCTAACGTTAACTTTTGTTCTTCCGTTACGTTCCTATTTTTTTCAACGCTCCTAAAATATATCTTCTAAAGATAACATTAACTTTTGTTCTTCCGTTACGTTCCTATTTGGTTCACCATCTTCTACCACAAGTCTGAAGTAAAAAACTTTAGCAGTTTGTGCAGAGTGAGTAAGAACTTCTATCAACAAAGCCTACAAGTCTTGAGTTTCAGAAATTGACACTGATGGCAAACAGCTAAAGAGAAAAGTTGTTTTTCGAAGGCTCAATTTAGAAGTTTAACGGTGAGAATTCACTGCAAATTAGTCAAATCCCTAAAAAAGCAGATCTATCGTTATCCAAACAAGCCCTAAGTTTTACATCAATTTTGAAAGTTGCACCCAGCCATTTGAGTAGTGAGATCATGGTGATGTTATCTTTATGTCCAGGATGAGAAGACCTCGGAAATCAATCTTCAAAAACTAGAACTCGAATGAACCTCTTATGCCGTCTAAACTTTCTCCAAGAGATACCCTGTCACAAGGGGGAAAACAGAGTTGATAAAATGTTGCATTTAATAGCACCCCGAAGCTACAGAGAAGGCATAGGAGTAGAGAAAATAAAAGTGTCAGGAAGTAAAATCGCATCAATATATATTCAGTCATAGAAATGCTTTAAATAACTGTTTTCTCTCCATAAAGTAAATATCAAAACTTTCTCCATGGATGTTACAATTGTTCCTATTACTGGTCATAAAACAATATTCTGTAATCTGGACGAGGAAGAGTGCCACTGCACACCAGAAGAGTGGACAACTAACGAGAAAATGGATTATAACACCTAAATTTTGTAACTTCTTCATTATTTTGATTTAATGATATATTATGTGTTCATAAGTCATAACTCTAGCAGTGTACCATCCAGGGATATGAATTTCAGGCTTATACCTCCAGATGCCTCAACTCTTACGATTTGTCTCAGACTCACACGCACAATTTCCCACCACACTTAAAATAAGTATTAAAACCTTGATACATGCTCATAGTGAGTAATTACTTCCTCTGCCAAAAAACAAACGAAATAAAAAACATGTATTTCTATTGTCTGGCCAATTAGTATATCTTTCAAGACCATCATTCCTCTTCAAATCTACCATACCATCAAGTTATACTATGAGAATATATAATTCCAAACACTTAGATGATTTATATTATGACCATATAAATTATACCTGTGCATGCAATACTTGTATTCTTGACTCCTGACAATATCTTTCTCCCCTTCTTCCAGCTACTCAGTATACAAGAAACTCACATTAAATAAAGTTACAGAACAAACTTATTGGGCTGGCAATGCTCATAAACAAGCTTAAAAATACGAAGGAAAATAAAAATGAATTTCTCTTACTGGATCACTCTCGTAAACAAGCTCATAACAAACTGGTGATAAGCATTGTAGAGCACAATTCTCCTTTGCTACCATTGAAGACTTGCACCTTTCTCCCCATAAACCACTTTTCAATTTGAAAAAAGAAATAGTAAAGTTCAAACTTTGTGTTCTTGGAAGCTGCTTTATCATGTAGAGTTACAAAGAAATTCTAACTTTCTAACTGAAAATCTCAACGATATACAGGAAAAAATTCTATAAAGAAAAATGTTAGTTGTGTTTCAAATTCTATAAACAATTGACAAGTAAAGAGATGAACAAGAAAACAACTTCTTTTCAAAAAATATTCGCATGGCTTCTAATGAAAAAACAACAAAAAAACTTGCAGAATTCCAAATTTCCCAAATCGAGATTTGAGTAAAAATACCTCTCGATGTTGGCGTAGCACTGATGCTTCTTCTCTCGAATCTCCATCTCCTGTAACAGTATAAGTAATTAAAAATCGATGGGGATGAGAAGTTCAAATACTAATATCCGTGAAATGCAGTAATTTTTAAATCGATTAATAAGTCACGACATGTGAATTTTCTCACAGAGATTGGTCGACGAGACTTGGAAAGAGCTCCATTGACGTACAGTACAGAGATGGCAACAATGATTAGTCCTGCGATCTTCATAGTTACAAAAGCCAGAGATCTTCGCTAAATAGATTTTCTCCGGCCACGGGGATGGGGTTAGGATTCCGGCTAGACGATACATTGGTTCCGTACTGTATACGGAAATTTGGGTACGGTAAGGTACGGTATCGGTAAATTATCATGATTTAATATAACAAATTATTATATGTCAAATGAAATAAAGAAATTCAGTGTTAACACTGATATGCTAAAATCATTAATGAAATTAATTATAAATAACAATGAGATAATTTATTTGTGTTATATTCAACTTTGAACAAAAAATATTATAAATATGTATAGATATTTCAACACACGATATATGAAGATAACAACACATTTTGCTAAAATAATTTAAACAACATAAATATAATTAAAATAACACCGATCTCCAACAAAAGTACAAATAATTTAAGAAACATGGATATAAAGTCATTTATCCTTGAATTAGTGTTGTGTTTCTAGTTATTTTTATAATTTTAAGGAAATTATTGGCTAGGAATTACGGTATGACGGTATACCGGTATACCGCTTATTTCCAAAATATATACCGATATCATAGCGAAGTAATTCGGTACGGTATCATACTGTACCAAAAGTGTCGGTATACCAAACATTTCGGTAAATTCGATATTTTTCGATATGGTAAGTCCGGTATACTGAAATTTCGGGATTTTTTCCCACCCCTATTAATACGCGTGTCGTTAGCTTCCGAGTTGGGATGCTTGGACCTCTTTCGGTCACCACGTCAGATGAGATAGATTTTCGTAGTTACTCCATATAAAATACACAGAGACCAAACCTTTATCACATCAGAAAAGATCAATTCAGATAAGATCAGATCAGACCAGATCATCAAATGTTAGTTCAAAAGAAAACATCCTTGCTCAATTCGATTTTCATTTCATAGGCAAAGTTTTGAGGTAATGGAAATAATTAAAGTTGGAATTACTTAAGAGTAAATTACTCATATAGGACTAAAGATGGACACATGTGCACAAATAGGACCTAAAATTAAAACAAATTTCTGTAGGACTTAAAATTAGGAGGCCGTTTGACAACACTGTTTTTCAACTTATCAGTAGGCTTGGCCCCGTTCGGGCCGCCCGGCCCGTGACCAGGCTCGGCCCGCAACTGTGCGGGCCCGGGAACGGCCCGGTCGTTCGGTCTGGTACCAGGCTTGGACCCGAACCGGTGGGTAAAGCAGGGGCGGGCTAGGGTATGAGATTTGGTGACCCGGTTTGGGCCAAAAGTTTTTTTTTTCAATTTTTTTTTTGTTTCCCCCGGGTTGGGCTGGGTGTTTGAGGGGGTTTGGGGCAGTTTGGGGGGTTTGGGGGGTGGGGGTGAGGGGGGGGTCAGGGGGTAGTTAGGAAAGCAAAAAAAAAAATTAATCGACCCGAGCCCGGCCCGGCCCGTACCCGGTGGAAACCCGAGCCGGTTCTGGGCCTTCCCCCAACCCTCAAAAGCCCGCCCGGGTCTAGGCCCTACCCGGGCCCGACCCGGCCCGAGTCCATGACTACTTATCAGGCTTATCAGTCAACTTTTTGACCAAACACGCCATTTTTGTTTTCCCGCATCGAATTGTGTAATAAGCAGAAAAGGTAAAGTTGGAGTTACTGTAATGACCATTTTAGCTATTTTTACATATAATGTTTTCTTCATTTTATTAATAAAATAAGTTTTACTACCTCCGTCCCATATTTATCTTCATAGTTCGGTTTACGATGCTTGACTGACGATAAAGCAACTCAATCCCTGTTCACACTCGGATTATTTTTAGAAAATAAAATTTACATATTCAGAAACTACATTAAAACCGCTACAAAGCCTGATCAAGAAAATTTAAATTAGATAAAAATTTGATATATAAAGTAAAAGATTAAGAGTAATTTGAATTGACCATGTGAATAGTAACTATGAAGATAATTTTGGGACGGAGGGAGTAAATTTTTTTTTTCTTAAATCAGAAGAATCAGCCAATGCAGCCACTTCAACCAAAATTTCATAAATTTCAGCAGGATCAGCCAAAACAACCGATTTTGGTGCTACCAAACGGGCTCTAGATGTTTTTCCAATTCTAACCTCAAAAATATACGCTCAGCATGTTGAACGGCGGAAGTTATCGGGAGACGTTATGTGAGCCGAAAGAAATAAGAAACGGTTATGACATTTATTGTAATTTATTTTTTCGGCTGCGCAGAATTCGAGTACATAAGGAAACTACTAAGCAACAGAAAGTGGAGCTATTGGAAGTTATTCCAAATTCAAATTTTCAGACGGAAACGACAAACAAGGACAGAGAAGTGCATTGAAGATGGAAGACGGCGATTTTTAAAGCCAGCAAGCGAGGCGATTAAGTGATAGCCTGAATCCAAACCTAATAAGTTTTTTTGAACCTCAAATGTCAATGAATGTAAGTGAATATCATTGAAGCATGTTAATATAGTGAACAAGAATCGGAATGTTTTGTTGTGAGTATTGTAGACAAGAAATCAACATCATTAAGTTGAATGAATGTAGCTACAATAGCAATTAGTAATAGGTGTTTAATTTATTGCATAAACAAGTGAAAATTGGATTAAGACGTCAAGACGGTATATGAATGAGAAATTCAATGAACATACATTTGGAAGAAACAATGGCAGACTATTGGTATAGAAATGATGTGCGGATAGGTGTATTTAAAATCGTGTGTACTGATGCATGTACTCCTAATTTACCATATTTACGATCTTGTTTTGTCACACTTTTCATACTTTATTTCTCATTTTTAAATAAAAAGGATCGATATTTATCATCTTGGACATTTTATGGTATTGCACTTGTTTTGGTATATTTTTGAGTTTCAGGATAATTCGGGACGTATATTAATTTTTGAAAAGAAATAAATACTACTCCCGAGTGAAGACGGAAAAATCATCAAAGTGAAGCGAGTCCTTAATTTATCTCTCAAATATTTATCAAGAGGCCCGAAATATATTTCAAAATAAGGCAGACTATCCGCAATAAAATGTACCGGTTAACTGCTAGCCAGCTAACTGATCAAACAGTTAACCGGCCAAAAGAAGAAGCGGCGGAAAAGAGCCAAAGTCTGGCTGATTAGATGACAACAGTATTCACTAAATTGTGAACAAAGCTCCACCGTAGAAATCCAAAAGAAGAAATACAAAGCAGCTAGTATATATATTGAATTATTGATGAACCCAGGCCATGAAGGGACCTACGAACTGCATTTGTCTTCATCATCTTTCAATCTGCAATCAAAGAGATCGAGAACAGCGGCAAACGAAGAAAAAAATGCACAATTGAACAGAGATGATACTATTTGCATAAAGAAATCAAGAAGGTGGCAATCACATCTCATGAAGATTGAAGTAAAAGCCAACCAAAAATTATTTTCAGCATCTTCAATTGCAGGATATTTGATGCTTAGTCCCTTCTTCTGCTGCTATATAAAGAACCATTCGAGAGCTCCAAAGACACACCAATTCGGAGAGAAATCTCCTTCTTCTTTCTTTAGTTCAGTTTGTATTAGTAGTTATTTAATAAATAGTTCTTTCTAGAGCTACTATGTATAAATCAGTACTCCTATAAAGTTAGTTTCCAGCAATTTCAGTCTTGAGTTCGTCATCTTGTGCACTCCAGTTCCAGAAAAGCCTGAATGCAAGTAAAGTTTTATTCTCTTTATATTTCGTTTCTCATACTTAAATATTAAACAATGTACGAAGTATTTGTATTCATTTTATTTTCGTGCAAACATGAGTAGCTAATTTAGTTTAGGCTTGGGCAAGATGTAAATTTTACTGTTAATGTTCATATGATAATAATTGGTTAAAACTTTTACTTGGTTAATTTTAGGGTTTTGGGTTGAATGTTCTAATCTGCTAAATACATTATATTGGGAAATGAATATTATCACGGGAGTGGAGTTTCATTAAAAATCCCTTTAGTTAATTCACCCACTAAATTGCTACACGGAAGTGTTAAGGAATTTAGGATAAATTGATTTTGTACTTTTTACTGTCTTAATAAAATTACCGCGGGAGCGGAATTAATTTAAGATAGTGTAATCAACTAAGTCGTGGGAACGATTAGAAGATTACCATTTGAAAATCTTTCACACACCTAAAAGTAACCAAGTTAATCAGTTAAATCTTTATTATTATGAACATGAAAATAAAATCACTCTTAGCCCAAGCCTAATTTTCACTATATCATTAATTGTTAAATTATCAAGTATTGTGATTTATTTTATTTCCAAGCAATTTCACATTTATAAAAACAAGATAAAAAAAAAAATTGTTCACTTAGCTCCATTGCAAAATGTTATCAATTTGTGATTAGCTAAAAATCAATCATTAATTCTAGTTCTCTTTTTGAGCCATTCTCTAGCGAAACGATACTCACTTACTCTATACTATATCGTTACAAGCCAATTAAAACATCATTTCCATTCACATTTTTACACCATTTCACACTACACATTTTGGCATGTCATGTACTTTCTGCCATATAGTGTTGCCGGATTGTATATGTAATGGCACGCAGAAGTTTGTCCAGCATAGAAACCAGTGCAAAAAAGCAGGCAAGATAACATATGTTAAAATAGTCATTTAATTTGTTTTGTAAATGTATCCAATAAATTCATATACACCAGTAACACCATATCGTAAATATTCACCTATTGATATTTAACCCTCGATGAACTTAAATACCTCTGCTTTCTATGATCGGCTAACATTTTTTTTTGTTTTTTTTTTAAATACATGGGAGGAAACAGCGCGGAGCAGCGGGCGTGGAACTTTGATAAGCAGTGAACCCGGTGCAAAAAAAGCAGGCAAGAAAAACTTATGTAAAAATATACTTAAAATCTTCAAATAGACTTGAAATCTTTGATAAATGTAAAAGATTTAACATTTTGAAATGTTTAACACACACTTTAATCTTCAAATAGACTTGAAATCTTTGGACAACACACGAACACAACAGAAATAATTATCAGCACACATATTCCAAAAAAAATTCTATTCGATTTAGACTCTAGTGAACATGGTTTCAATCTGCCTATTTAACTAAACATGCGCAAATGTCTTTATTATCTCTAATAAAGACTGCCCGGGGAATAATTTTTCTAATATGAATTAAAACAATTTTTTTAATAGTGTTTGTATTATGAATAAAAAATAATATAAGAAATGGCCTGGTGAATCTATTTGCCCTGCCAGCCAATCGGGGGGGGGGGGGGGGGGGGGGGGGGGGGCAGATATGGTATTCTGTCTGAAAATAATCCTATTTTTCCTGGAAAACATATTCTGGAATTTTACTTTAACGAATGAATCCAGTTCTTCATAATTCCCAATTTCGCAGAACAGGAACATTTGTAGTTTTGTTGATATTTAACCTGATATCTCACTTTGAAAATGCAGGGAATCCTTTAATGCTTATAAGAGATCAGGCCCCAAGAATTCTTGTCACTTGCCTTTGTTTTTTAGATATAGGTTAGATATAGGTTTGATTTAGGCCACCGCTAGCGCATCCGAATAAGGCCACAGGTACCCATTTCTATAGCTTTCACTCTGAGTTTATTTCTTCATAATATGTTTCTTTTAACTCAAAAACATATTATTTTCAGAATGCATAATCCCTGTTTTGTGAACTTATCTTAAACTTATCTCCAAAACGTGTTTTGTGAACAAACATATCCTAAACTTTTATTGTTCAATGCATAAAAACGTATGCTTTACATGTACAATAGTAAAACCTACATATGTCAAACTCGGATTTTTTCAAATACATTCAGTGCACTCAAATCTTTTTCACACCACCAATGTTTTTTTCACTCATATGATGCATAATCCCTGAACTTTTTCTTGCATAAAATATTTCACACATTTGAAAATGCAAATAAGTCCAGAAAATGATTAATGACCTTATGAAACCAACTTGTCTTGAATTATATTGTTTTTATTTGTTCAGTGCATAAATTAAACCGGATGCATTACATGTACAATAGTAAAATCTCCACTTCTCATAAACTTGGAATTTTTCAAAGGCATTCAATGCATAAAATTATTTGCTCACATATCATAAAGTTAACAGGACTCCCTTAATCCCAAACCTAGCACTCTTTTTAAAGAAACAAAGCCTATAAGAACTTGTTGAAGTTTTGAAAAACATGTAGTTTTCCTCCAGCATGAAGTTTTTCACCGTGTATACTCGCCTCTCTTTGGATATGCTGACAAACTTGTTTACAAACTGGTCTGGAATGTGAATGCATTTTGGACCCCTGAAATTCAAAAAACTGCAGGCATAAATTGTTTTTTTGGAATAGTTAATGCAGTAGATAATAAAAATTAGTCATAAACACCCTAACCTCTTTATCATGAAACACGACCTCTAATGACTCTGGAAAACAGTCACGGCCGGGGTCTCAGTAGACACATATTGCTCTAGCCTTGATTGCCCAAGTAGTCTTTCTTTGGTCTATCTCTCGGAATAGTAATCAATGCCAACCATTTTTGACAAATCTTGTTTGTGTTTCTGGCTTCCTTGCTCGAATGAGTGTGGTGTTGTAAGATTGGAATGGTTGCTTTTATAACCCCAAACAGTGTGCATTCTTTATTCAACCAATTAGAATTGTTTTTGGATTTGGGGGGAAACTGATTTTCAAAATTTGAATTCTAATCTGTTACACCAAAGCCAAACCAATAATTCACCCTAGCTCCCAACCGTGTATATGCATTGTTCCGTATTAATTTAACTGTTCAGCAACAAACGGTCCAATGAAAATACACAGTGAGTGTGAAATCCTATTGAAATCCTGTACAGTGTCCCAACGTATCACCTCCACTCATTTCTAACCAAGCTTTCACACACAGGGCCCTAACTTTCTGATTTTTAACTCACCGAACCCTCTGTTAAGACCCGGGGTTCCATCCTAAAAGGTCAACCTAATAGGAGGAGTAGCCCAAAGCCTTATATAGTGTTTAATTGTTTTATAGCTTTCCGGTGTGGGACAAATGCTTCAACACGCCCCCTCAGCCCGAACCGGGCTGGACAATATCGGGGTGTATAAACGGGCCAAACAAACCCTTAACAAGCTACCCTTAATCATGGGTGCTAAACAAGCCGTCAAACCACAACCGGAATTGGCTCTGATACCATGTTAAGACCCTCAGCCAACAATGGATCAATGAGCAATAAACAAAAGAGTTGAAAGTGACGTTTTTGAGGGGGAAAACTTGGCCCAAAAACATTTTACTTTTAGATTATAATAGATACCCTTTAATAATTGCAACAATTTAACTTTCACGTTTGCCAACACACAACATTGACTGTAGTTATATTTAATTATGTATTAAAAAATTATATAGAAATTTAATAAGGATAATTTGAGTTCCCATTTTATTGTCCGAATTGGAGTTTGCATTCCGTTTTTAAAAATCATAGTTTTTGCACCCCCAACCTCGTATGAAAGACAAAAATATCCTTTGATCAGGAATGTGTTAAAGGCAAACAGAATTGTTAATGTAGGCGCATTTTTGTCTTTTCATACGGCTTTGGAGTGCAAAAACAAAGATTTTGGGACGCCGAATAAATTTTAATACTCTCTTTGTCCGTAATTTACAAAGATAATGGTTATTATCGTATGTTGCAGAGTTGTGTAGAGAAGAGAGAAATGTTATGAAGCATAAATTCTTTACAAAAAAAGAGAAAGTGGAAGTTTATTTTGGGACGCCCAATAAAAAATTTGGAAGTTAAGGGACAGAGTGAGTAACATTTTATACATAATAATTTGATTATATATATTAGTAAAAAATCATTGTCAAATTAAGGTGTATTAATAGCGTAAAAATCACAATGTTGCAACTTTTAAAAGCAGCGGAAATAATAATTACATTTTGATCTGATTTGAATCTTTCTGATCTAATTTGAATTTTTTTATCTGATTAGATTTCAATTTTTCTAATCTGATCTGATCCGAATTTTTCTAATCTAATCTGAATAAAATAAGAATAAACAATAAGTAATAAGAAACAGACGAACATAACATCACCTTAATTAAGAACAGAGTAAACATAACTCCACAATAGGGAGATTTAAAATTTTAATCACTTGAACATCTGATCTTGTAACTAATAAATTTTTTCAATTTAACGACTTATCTGATATACTATAGCTGAAAAAGTCCTTAAATCGCAAATATTAATTAGTTACATGACCAAATTTGCAAGTGACTAAAGTTTTGGGACTAATAATGAAAACGGCCGAAAGTTACGGGACGAAAACTGTAAATTTCTCCTTTATAATATTATCTTGATTTTACTTACCATTTATGTACGTACTAATTATTCCATAAAAAATTATACCACGTAGTATTTAGTTTTTACAATAGAAAACAAAATGTTGCTGACTTGTGTGTAATTAAAGAATAAATTGTGGGTGTATGCGTATATATATATATATATATATATATATATATATATATATATATATATATATATATATATATATATGTATATGCATGGGCGGAGCCAAAGGGGGTCAGGGTGGTCAGCCGACCCCACTGAAAGTTCAAGAATGTAGAGCTCTGAAATATCTTCGATTTGATATTATGAGTCATGTAACTCATTATGAGTAAAAAGTTACAACTTCTGGAAAAATCAGCACCATCTTAACTTGAAATAAGCAAAGTTTGATGTGTGATGTCGATTATATTCTTCAATTAAAAAATAAAATATTTTATTCAGTCATTAGTTGTGTGAACATTATGATACATTACATATATATCAATACATTAACCGAAAAAGACTCATTAAACTACCATTCATTTCAGCTACATACGAACCATTTAACTCAAATATTGTATAATAACCAGTGGCGGATCTAACATGTATGTTTTGGGTGTTCAAAACTCAATTAAAAATTAAAATGAAATACTCATATTAATTAATAAGTTAATTAGTAGATGAGTTTTTTTAACCCTTGTTGTTATTAACACCAATAAGTAAAGAAAGAATGTTTTACCGCTCCAATAATAACTTAAAAAAAATTATGCCAAACCAATGATAAATTAAGAAAAAAAGTCAATAAAGTAAACAAAAAAACACTGCCATACGCCCATACCAATAACTTGAGCAAAAGACATACAACCACTAAACAAGGCCCAACAAATGACGTCACATACTCACATGCGCTACTGTGTCCCTCATCCAATTCTTTATTCATCGAGAAAATAGAGGGAAGGACGGGTTAAAAAGCTTGGAGCTTCGTTTCTAAAACCCAGATGAACAAAACGATGACGTTTGATATAAAATTTGAAGTTTTTGGGTGTTCACATGAACACCCTTGAACAGCACCAGCTCCGCCACTGATAATAACTATCTATCATTTTGGTACTGTATATAATTAAATTCCGACCCCACTCACACATTTTTCTGCCTCCTTCCCTGTGTATATGTGTGTGCATGCAGTATGCATATATATTTTTATATTTTTATATAGTGAATACACTACTTCAGTACTTCTATTAAAAAAAAGTATGTACGTACGTATAAGCACAACTGTACAGATATGCGTGAAGTCATTGGCGGAGCCAGACATTTAGGGTTAAAGGGGCCGGTCCTTAACAATTTTACATTGCAGGGGCCAAAGTGTAAAATATCAACATACTTTCTACAGATTAAAAGTATTTATACATAATATATACTAAAGAATTTTTTTTCTTGCAGGGGCCGTGACCACCTCCAACCCCTCCCCGTCTCCACCCCTGCGTGAAGTATAAGAATACGTATACTGAATACGTGTTGAAATATTAAGAACCCAATATAATTATATAAAATAATTAAAAACCATAAAGGAAAAAACTGAAAAAAAAAAACAAAATAGAAATAATCAAATAAACTAGAAGTCTAAATACTTTTTATGGTGTTTATATTAAAGTGAGGCACTCATTCTTCGTATTGATAAACATCAAAGGATTAAAGAAGCCAGAGTAGTAAACGGTGTTAGTTACTACGTTAGTGGGTGGACAATATGCCCTTAAAAGGTTAAATATTGACAATTTTGCTCTACAAATAACCTTAGTGTCTTATATGCTTCTTTATATAAACTTTAATGGTCTATATGCTCCTTTTCCCTTTCCCTTTATGCTATGTAGTGTTGGTGGATTGTATATGTAATGGCAGTATGGCACAATGTTTTGCATGGTTGATGCAATGCAATGTTTTGTGAAGTTGTTGGTATAAAAATGTACACAGATTAGTTCTGTCACATTTTTAGATTTTTGTCTTTTCATTATCTGGAAAAATAGTTGATTGGTGTATGTGGTTAGAATTAAATGTATTTATGCCACATTTTTGGCATGGTACCATTATATATCGGAAAGGAATTAAGTAAGTTATTAAAACACAATACATTAGGTCAAAATTAAAATCGGATTCATCAGCTAAAACCATTATTAGTATCATACTAATCATTAATTTAAGGGAAAACTATCAAATAAGCCCCGTACTATATCGAAAAAAGTCAATTAGGCCCCCGTACTTTAGAATCATGCAACTAAATCCTCGAACTATTAGAAAACGTTCAATCAAGCCTCATAGTCAGTATGTAATCAGTTTCGAAGTTAAACGTACATGTGGCATCCACGTGGAAATATTTTTCTTTTCCCTTATATTTTTTCCTTTTCTTTTTCTTTTTGTTGTTATCTTTCTCTTCGTAGATCCGTTCGCAGCAATACTTCCGAGCTTGCCAGTTGCCACCAGCGCCAGGGCCGGCCCAGGGCATGGCTGCCCAGTGCGACCGCACAGGGCCCGGATTTTTAAGGGCCCAAACAAAAATTTAGTATTACGCTTAGCCCAAAATCCCCCTGCGTAAATCTAAATATGCTTGAAGAATGTCCCTTTTTAAATAAATTGTAAGTTATTAATGACTATTTTTATCATTACATTTATTCATAAGTTATATTTTAAGACAATTTGTTTGTGTTGCAACTTGAAAAAAGTCCCAAATTTTATTCTCGCACAGGGTCTACATTTCTTCGGGACCGGCTCTAACCAGGGCCGAAGACTCCGTCCACCGTCTCCAGTGAAATCTGACGCCATTGTTGGGGTTCGAGCATATTGTCGCCGTTCGTTGCCATCGTTCACATTTACAAGCTTCTCCGGCGTTGGGGGCATCACCACTGTCCTTTCTCAGTTTTTCTCGCCGGCAAATTTTTATTTATATATTGTCGCCGTTGCTTTTCTTTGAAGTGGTGAGAAGATGTCTCAGCAGCTCCATTTCTCCGTTGCAACCTTGCAGGTGCCTTGCTGGATGGCGGCAGATAAATTTTCCGGAGAACAGAAACCGGCGAGTAAAGCAATATGGAGAAGAAGAATAAATCGGACCGAAAGAAAGCTAGAAAGGAAGAAAGAAATACAGAGTATTTTGCAGATGTTGGAGAAGAATAAACTGTACTGGATGTCCGGATGGAAGAAAGCTACTCCCTCCGTCCCTTAAAACTTTGTCAACTTTCCTTTTTTGGATGTCCCACTAACTTTGCCACTTTCCATTTTAAGTAAAGAATTTGTGGTTCCAGTTAATTCTCTCTTCTCCGCACAAACCTCAACCACACAGTTTTTACTTTATTAATCCCCGTGCCGGTCAAACTTGGCAAAGTTTTGAGGGACGGAGGGAGTAGAAAGGAAGAAGGAAATAATATTTGCAATCCGGGAACTTGGGAAGAAACGGAGAAGAAAGGAAACGGGAGAAAAAAGGAAGGAAAGAAAAAGGGAAAAGAAAAAGGAAGAATAGGAAATAAAAGAGGGGGGCGGGGGATGCCGACGCCACATATACATTTAACCGGAAGAATCGGTAAATTCACCTATTAAAAGGCTTAATTGAACATTTTTGTATAGTTTAAGGATACAATTAGGTGTTTGTAAAGTACGAGAGCCTAATTGACTTTTTCGATATAGTACGAGGGTTTATTTGATAGTTTTCCCTTAATTTAATAAGATCAAATCAATTTTCGATAAAATCAGTTTTAATATTTAACCTACAAAACGCATGAGTACAGCGGTAAATTAGTTAAGCCTGGTGAATATTAGGGATAATAGCAGGCTTTAGTAACCATTTTGACATATACTACGTGCATTATAATTGTAGGTATTGATTAATTAAAGAAAAATGGAGATCATAGTTTCGATTAAAGCTATAAAAGAAAGCAAATTTTAAATTGGGCTTATACTTGAACAATATATTTACTTAACTATTTTACATACTATTTTTAAAGTTCATTTATATATTTATATTTTCCTATACTGACAGTTTGGTGGTCTGAAGATGTTGGCTTTCGTAATGTGGAGGTGGATGTTTCCTCTTCCAAAATGATGGAGATGGGTAGATCCAATATTGACTTTATGTCTAAGGGCCTGTCCTTTAATATTATTTCGGCCCAGGTAAATAAATCGGCCAGAGATTCAGAGAAGTTGCAAAATTGGGCTTAAATGGGCCTTTTTCTTGGCGGAGTGGTAATCTCATTCCAAACGATCTCGGAGGCTCTATAAAATTGGATGAGTTGGGCGTTCCTTATATTGTTTGCTGAGTTGTTGTTACTTGGCTTCTTTTGCGGTTTTGAGGGTGTTTGGAGCCCCAAAAATGGGCTTATAAGCCTTAAAAGCTAAAAAAATAGCCAAACACAATGCAAATTGGCTGTTTGGGCTGAAATTTCTTATCAGCCAACAAAGCAACACCAGGGTGACTTTTTGGGCTGAAATTTATTTATATACTGTTGGAACTAAAAATACACTTTTACCCTTGTATTTTATGCTTTCTTTCGTTGCTTCCAGATAGGCTACGAGAATTGAAGCACCTCCGGCCTGCACCATGGGTTTATCTTCCAGATCAATGACTTTCGGCTCCGCTCCTCCATGGTTTTGGCATTCCAGATCGACGGCTTGTTGAACGGCTTCTCCATTTCATCTAAAGGTATGTTGAGTTGCCCTTCATCTTCATCTTCAATTCTTAGCAGACCTACGGTTCTGATTTGTTTCCCCTAATCTTTGCTAAATATTATTTCTAAACCAACTGATGTTATTTATTGTTAGTATGCTTATTATCTTTAGTCTTGTATGATTATTATTCGATTTATCTAGAATTTTGTTTTTCAATTTAAGTGGATGAAATAATCCAGGTTGCATTCTTCATTTTAAAGCCAAGAGCTGAGATTAAAAAATCCCTGACCAGTGTTTAAGTAGCCTTATAATTATCTAATCAAACAAAATTAGTTTATTAGTGAAATCCACACTCATATATTTAACACAAATAAACTAATACCCTTTATAGTAATTTTATACTCAATCAGCCATTTCAGCTAACATATTACCAAACACTTCCACTTCAGCAAATTAAGGCTTTTCAGGCTTTTCAGCCATTCCAGCCAATGCAGCTGTTACCAAACAGGCCCTTTGTCTTTTTGCTTTTGTTTGCTTGGTTTTTTGGGAGAGGTTTTGGTCTGATCTCCCCTCTCCACGTGTATAATCCTTTTTATTCTTAATAAAACTCTAGCAGGTGTCGCCCGGTATCTGTTCCGCTGATTTTGGTGGTTTGCTTTCCGGACTAAAAAAAATACGGACAGTTTTAATGTTAGAATCCCAAATAATTAGTAAGAACCACATGGTATGGAGATTCAGTATGGCTTATATTATAGGGGCTGGAAATAACCATCAGGCAGTATGCAGTGTTATATACGGAGTATAGTTTAATGTTTTAGCAGTATTGGGATTGATCATCAAACTCATGTTCTAAGCAGTTTAAATTGACTCACGTAAAGATTGAGCATCACAAGCACCCGTGCCCTAATTCCAACTGCCGTCTAAAAGATCATTTTGATAGTAAGAATAAGCATTAAGAAACATCCAATTGGCTTCAACATGACAGGGCTCCCCAGCACAACCCTTTCCCGGCGGCGACCGCCTAGTAACAGCCGCCTCCCCAGCACAACCCTTTCCCGGCGGCGACCGCCGCCACCGGCGGCGAAGGCCACCACCCCTCTCCCGCTAGCTCCCACAGCCCCCATCCGTTCTCCAACAAGCTGTTATACACCAACTTACTGATGCCACGTCAGGGACACGTCAACTCACACGTGGAAGTCTCTTGCACACTTGGTTAAAACAGATTAGTTCGGCAGTTGTTAGTCTAACTAATCTGTTAAGATCGTTGTATAGCCTTTGTATATAAACGATGCATGTAATAGCTGAAAAACTACGAATTCATTTTCCCAATTGATCTCCTTCCTTATTATGCTTACTCTTGCATTATCGTTCGAATTCTTTTCTTATTGTAAGAATTCCTACATTCATCCATGTTCTTCGTTTCATAGAACCTAGAGCATTACAATTGGTATCAGAGCTCCTTGAATTACAGAATTCAACCATCTTCGATTCCACATCCTGGCGAAAAAGCTAACTGTAGCTTCACTCTCAAAAATAATGGAGGATAAGGTGTTGGGATTAGAGCGTCGACTGGAGGAACAGCAAGTGCTGAACGAAGAGAAATTTGCGGAGACAAATTCGAAATTAGATGCACTTTTATCATTGTTGCAAAAGAAGAACGATGAAGAAGAGGGAAATCGTTCACATCATATCAGATCTCCAGTAATACATTCAGTCCATGCGAATTCACAACCTAATTCAGGTATTTTGCCTAAGGTCTCTGGATTTCTTCCCAAGATTGAATTCCCTACGTTTGATGGACACAATCCCCGAAATTGGATTCAAAAGTGTGCTAAATACTTTGAACTCTGCACCATTGAACATAATCATAAAGTGGATTTGGCATCTTTATATTTGGTGGGTAGAGCAGAATCATGGTTCACTAGTTATATATCGGTGCACAAGAGAGTACCCTGGGAGCAATTTGTTTTGGATCTTTGTGCAAGGTTCAATGAGGATCTAGGTTGTACCGTTGTGGAAGATTTCAAAAAACTACAACAAACTATATCCTTAGATGATTACATGGATAACTTTGAACAATTAAGAAGCTTAATGTTGCAAAGGAGTGAACTACTGCCTGAGGATTTCTTTTTGGATAGTTTTATAGGGGGACTTAATCCTGCTATTAAGCATTTTGTCAAAGCTTTCAAACCCAGAACACTACATCAAGCCATGGAATATGCTCGCCTCCAGGAAAATAGCTTGGAAGAAATTAAGAAATTGGGAAGAAATGAAGTAGAAAAGCCTTCTTTTCGAAGTCATGAAAGAAGTTCCAACCAGACATATAAAAGCACTATTCCTAGTATGGGTAAGGGAATCCTTCCCAAACCTAACATTCAGCACAGAGAATTCAGAAACTCTCAACCTCAGGGAAGAAGGAATCTGTCAGCCACAGATATTGAAGAAAGAAGGAAGAAGAATCTTTGCTTCTATTGTGATGAAAATTACTCTCCGGGCCACAAATGCACAGCTCAACTATATCAAATTCAAGTCCTGACTATGGAGAAGGAGGAGGGGATTAAAACTCAGTGGGAAGAAGACAATGGAGTGGAAGATTTCCTTACTGAAAAGAGCTCTGAAGAATACTTTACAGACCAGGATGTTCAACCGTTGATCTCCCTCAATGCCTTGACAGGGCAGCAACATTACCAAACTATGAGGGTAACAGGAAGGGTCAAAAACAATGATCTATACATCCTAATTGATTCAGGTAGTACCCACAATTTTCTGGACCTACACACTGCCAGAAAATTGGGTTGCAAAATTTCCAAATCAATTCCTTTGGAAGTTTCAGTTGCCAATGGTGATAAGATTGTAACTAATCAGATCTGTCCCAACTTTAGATGGAAAATCCATGGGCATGAATTTCAGATGGATGTCATGTTAGTACCATTGGGGGGCTGTGAAATGGTACTAGGTATACAATGGCTTGCTTCTTTAGGCCCAATCAAATGGAATTTCAAAGAGCTTATCATGGAATTTCAATATCTTAATAAGAAGGTAGTATTGAGGGGCAGTCATAAAGGGAAGATACAATGTTTGCAAGGGGATCAGTTACCTAAAGAAGTAAGAAAAAACATGAAGAATTCTATGGGATAGTTGTTTGTAATGCAAATACAACAAAAGGGAAATGAAGAACAAGAGATACAGGATTCCCCAAAATAGCTACAAAAGGTGCTGCAGGATTTTCAAGAAATATTTGAGGAACCTAAACAGCTCCCTCCACATAGAATACATGATCACCAGATTCATCTAAAACCAGGAACTGGCCCCATTAATGTTAGACCTTATAGGTATCCTATGATCCAAAAGGATGCCATAGAGCAGATCACTCAAGAGATGTTGGAGCATGGCATCATCAGACACAGCCAGAGTCCTTATTCAGCACCAATAGTAATGATTAAGAAGAAGGATGGCAGCTGGAGGTTCTGTGCAGATTACAGAGAGTTGAATAAACAGACTATTAAGGACAAATTTCCAATACCTATTATTGAAGAACTAATAGATGAACTGCATGGATCTCAGGTCTTCTCTAAGATTGATTTAAGGAGTGGATACTGGCAGATCAGAATGAAGGAGGAAGACATAGAGAAGACTGCCTTCAGAACTCACATGGGGCATTTTGAATTTGTGGTCATGTCTTTTGGACTTACCAATGCACCTTCAACATTTCAGAGCCTCATGAATCACATCTTTCAGCCATTCTTAAGGAAATTCATCTTGGTTTTTTTTGATGATATACTGATCTACAGCCCTGACATGGCTACACATGCAGAGCATTTAAGACAAACCTTGGAAATACTACAAAAGAATGTACTATTTGCCAAAAGGAACAAATGCTCATTTGGAGTCCTTAAAGTGGAATACTTGGGACATATTATATCCCAGGAAGGCGTAAGAACTGATCCTAGCAAGATAGAGGCCATTACTCAATGGCCTACTCCAAGAACCTTGAAGGAGTTGAGGGGTTTTCTTGGTCTCACTGGGTATTATAGAAAGTTCATAAGACACTATGGACTCCTGAGCAAACCTTTAACCAACCTTCTCAAAAAGAATGCTTTTCATTGGGGAATAGATGCTGAGACAGCCTTTAATCAATTAAAGACTGCTATGAGTCAAACACCAGTGCTAGCTTTGCCTGACTTCAAAATTCCCTTTGAAGTAGAAACTGATGCATCTGATATGGGAATTGGAGCAGTGCTATCTCAAAAACAGCATCCCATAGCATTCTTGAGTAAGGCTTTGTCAGAAAAACATAAGGCTTTATCCACTTATGAGAAGGAACTTTTGGCAGTTATTTTGGCAGTTGAGAAATGGAGATCATATTTGACTGGCAATCACTTCATTATAAGGACTGATCATTTCAGTTTGAAGTATTGGTTGGAACAGAAAATTACCACTCCCTTTCAGAGCAAATGCCTTCCTAAGTTGATGGGCCTAGATTATGAAATCGTGTACAGAAAAGGGAAGGAGAATCTGGCAGCAGATGCATTATCTAGAGTGAGTAATGGAGAATTATTGAGTATTATGGTGGCTGAGATAAGTTCAGACTTAATGGAAAGAATCACAAGAAGTTGGGAGCTGGGAAGTTTACCTGAAGTAATCAACAGCTTAAAGGAAGGAACCCATTCAAATAGCAAGTATGAATGGGAAGAAGGGAAACTAATGAGAAGAGGCAAGATTGTAGTAGGTGCAGATGAGAACTTAAGAAGGGAGATTAGTATGGGGATTCACTGCTCTGCTATTGGAGGGCATTCGGGTGTCCAAGCAACATACCAAAGGGTCAGAACTATGTTTTATTGGAAAAAAATGAAGAAGAATATTAAAGAGTGGGTAGCCAACTGCCATACATGTCAGAAAAATAAGCCTCTTTTGCTGAACCCTGCAGGTTTACTACAACCTTTACCAGTTCCTGAAGCAATATGGAAGGACATTTCGATGGATTTCATAGAGGGACTTCCAAGATCACATAATAAGGACACCATTATGGTAGTGGTGGACAGACTCAGTAAGTATGCTCATTTCATACTACTTGGTCATCCTTACCAAGCTAGCAATGTGGCAAAGGCATACTTTGATAATGTTTTCAAACTGCATGGTCTTCCTCAGTCCATAATCAGTGATAGAGACAAAATATTTCTTAGTAAATTTTGGCAGGAACTCTTTAGATTACAAAGGGTTGAGCTGAAGATGTCCACTGCATATCATCCTCAAACGGATGGGCAAACTGAAAGTGTGAACAAGTGCTTAGAAGCTTATCTAAGATGTATGACTGGGGAACAACCAAAGGAATGGGCTAACTGGATTTCTTTAGCCGAATGGTGGTATAACACCAATTACCATTCAACCATCAAAACTACTCCCTTTGAGGTGGTATACGGGCAGTCTCCAGCCATTCATTTCCCATATGCTATGGGTACTAGCCCTGTTGAAGCTGTAGACAGAAGCTTAAGGGCTAGAGAAGAATGTATTGGCATACTGAAATTTCATTTAAAAAGGGCTCAAGATCGAATGAAGGCGCAAGCAGACCAACATAGGATAGACAAAGAGTTTCAAGTTGGAGATTGGGTCTATGTTAAACTGCAGCCTTACAGGCAACAATCAGTGGCAAAAAGGATCAACTTGAAATTAGCTCCCAAGTTTTTTGGTCCATTTGAAATTGTTAGGAGGGTGGGGCAAGTGGCTTACAGACTCAAACTTTCAATAGAGGCTCGAATTCACCCGGTGTTCCACATTTCTCAACTTAAAAAACATCAGGGAGAATTACCTAATAAGCTAGTTCTGCCCCAACTGGATGATCAAGGAGTTATAAGGGTAGAACCCATGGCTGTATTAGAACGAAAGCTGGCAAAAAGAGGAAATAAAGCTGCAGTTTACTGGTTGATCCAATGGACAAATGGAGAGAAGGAAGATGCCACGTGGGAAGCATATGACGAGTTGTCTAAAAGGTTTCCGGAGTTTGTAGCAAGGCAGATTTCAGCTTGAGGACAAGCTGAATGCAAGGGGGGTGGATTGTTATACACCAACTTACTGATGCCACGTCAGGGACACGTCAACTCACACATGGAAGTCTCTTGCACACTTGGTTAAAACAGATTAGTTCGGCAGTTGTTAGTCTAACTAATCTGTTAAGATCGTTGTATAGCCTTTGTATATAAACGATGCATGTAATAGCTGAAAAACTACGGATTCATTTTCCCAATTGATCTCCTTCCTTATTATGCTTACTCTTGCATTATCGTTCGAATTCTTTTCTTATTGTAAGAATTCCTACATTCATCCATGTTCTTCGTTTCATAGAACCTAGAGCATTACACAAGCTCCCTAGCCACTTCCCATTCGCATGTGGTGCAGACCCGCCCCTTCCAACTCATACCTCCCCTCTCAAGATCTCAACCTCCCCAACCGCCGCACCCTACCCCAAAACCCTAGCCTCCACCCAACATTCACCTCACCATCGCACCACCGCGGTCAATCAGAATCCTAACCATCGATCTGAAACCCTAGCCGTCAGTTCCATATGAGGCGACGTTTGTTGGGGCGATGGAGGGGGGATGGCCGGCCGGCGACTCCATGGGACAGGGGAGGCAGACGCGAAGTCTGTGGCGGCATTCGACATAGGACGGCGGCGGCGTACGATAGTGGAGCGAGGTGGCGTGCGCTGGGCGGCGATATTGGTTTCGTGTGTGCGGAGGATTTCAAATCAATGGCAAATCAAATGTTAGAATCCGAAGCAGGGATGCAGGGATCTGCCAGATGCAATGTTTCAGTATTCATTGTAGGGCTAATTTAGTCTTTCAATTGTATTTTACTCACTTTTTTATCTAAAGAAACGGATGGTCTCTTTTTTGTCCACCAGACTCCTGCAGGTGGTCATTCTTTCATTTTTAAAACCCGGAACCAAACCGGGTTATTTTAGTATTTTTAATTTCTTATTCTTAATTCTTTTATATAAAATATTTTTATATATTTTATACTATTATATATTTTAAATATTTTAAATATTTATAAAATATTGTTTACAACTAATTCTTTCAAAATTTGTAGCTTGCTCTGTCATAGTGTTGCTTACATTGTGCGTGCTTTTTCGGATTTTTTAAACATTAATATTAATATTCTTAAGTAGTTATTATATAATAACCAATTATTATCAACTTTTATTTTCTAACCAAGTATTCCAGCTCAGCTGATTGTGAGGTTACCGTACCTAGTGGGAGGTCTCGAGTTCGAAACCCACTAAGCACTTACATAAGGTTTTGAAACCCAATGGGCTGAGTTTCAGCCCTGATTACTCCAGACTCCCCCCAGCCCCCTCCCCCAGACCCCCTGGAGTGAAAAAAATCAACTTCTATTCTCTTTCACTATTTGTAAGTATCATTTTTAGTTATCTTTTATATTATTGTATATTGTAGATGTAAACAAACATTATTACCTCGGTCCCTAATAAAACTTCCAATTGTGGGTTACGAAGTTTGACCAGCGATAAAGTTAAATGATCCATATGAAAATTCGGATTATTTTTAGTAAATAAAATTTACATATTCAGAAACTATATTAAACTCGGTACAAAGTCTGGAAAAAAGTAATTCAATTTTTATAAAATTTTGATATACTCCATCTGTCCCCCTAACTTTGTCCCGTTTTGCCTTTTTCGTCCGTCCCATTAAGTTTGTCTCATACCATATTTGATAATATTTGAGTGGTTAGAATTCATTTCTACTTTATTTACACTTTATCAATTCAATACCAATCACACAATTCTACTTTTTCTTAAAAACCACACCACACCCCTTTGTCCCAAACTTAGGGGATGTATGTAGTACTCCGTATAAAATAAGAATTTAAGTGTGATTTAAGTTGACCCTCGAAAAGCAAAATGAAAGTTTATTTAGGAACAAAGGTAGTATAGTAAACTTTGGTCCAAGCCAATATGGAGTATTGTACTTCTAGAGTTGTAGTGATTACCAGGGTGTTTGGAATTGATTCTGTTTATGCTTCTTTTTTAAAGCAGAAGAAGAATCAGAATCAGAATCAGTTTTCAGAAACTGGTCACCCCCAGCTTCTAAAAAACTTATTCTAGGAGTAAATTTGAGTATCAGAATCACTTCTGCACTTTCACCCAAATACTCCAGCTTCTGTTCTGCTCTTCAAAAGAGCAGAAACAGTTTTAAAAATCAGATCCAAACACCCCACAAAAGTACAATACTACATATAAAATCTGCCAAATCAAATAATTGGTCCACAGTAGGGCTGGGACCGGTTCGGTTCTTACTCAAAATGAGTGGAACCGTTATAAAAATTTTAACTAACGAAATCGGTTCGGTTCCTATATAAAAAATCAAGAACCGTTATGGAACCGAACCGGTAGTAAACGGTTCGGTTCTTCCTTTTACCGGTTCCTAGAATAATTTTTTCTCGTCTAAGAATTAACACATAATTTTAAACATGTCAAAAATTCAAAACACGAGTATTAAAATTTTATTTGAAGCTCTAATCACTTCAAACATCAAAGCTCAAACTTACCTAATAAACTTTGAACACTTGATAGAACAAAAGTGATTTAAATTTTCATGTAATAAATCGAACATTAAAAATCGTTGTACTGTCGGAGCGATGAAGATTACTCGTCATCATAGTAGCAAGAATAGGACGCCTACTTCAAGTCTTTCAAAACATAAAAAAAAAGACATTAAGTTTGCATGTATAGATATAAAAAAACATTATTACATTCTATTGATTCATAATAAATCTAATAATTAGAAATATCATGAAAATAGTAAAATAAAATATGTGCAATCAACTACAAGTTATTTGGGTTATTTTATATTTATAAAATTTATGTGATGGAACAAAACTTGATTTGTAGAAAGGAGTTTAATGTATTATATCAACCTCATGTACAATATTTATTACTTCTTTTTCGTTGATTAAATTAGAATTGTTAGTTAAATATCTTATATTGTTTTATTATTGTTGTTGTGGTGGTGGTTATTATTGCTATTATATTATTATTATTATTATTATTATTATTATTATTATTGTTGTTGTTGTTACTACTACTATTATTTTATTTTATTTTATTTTTATAACGGTTCCTTAACGGTTCCATGCATATATTTCTTATAGGAACCGGGAACCGAACCGTTATAACCCGTTTCGGTTCGGTTCCTACAAATGAGACATTAATTGTTAACGGTTCGGTTCCTAGATGTTGTTAACGGTTCGGTTCCAATCGGTTCTACGGTTTCCGGTTCCAAAATCCCACCCCTAGTCCAAAGTGTTTGAACCGGTCGAATTCATCCGGTTTACCACTCATCTCTCAGCCACATGGTCGTACGGCTTCTCTCCGCTTCCATCTCCTCTTCCCCTGATGTCGGACGCAGTCTACACCACGCCGTTCGTCTTATATCCCGAGGTTAGTCGATTTTTACTAACTGCCTTCTTATTTTATCTCATCTTCTTTTGTTTGTTCCTATGTTGAAATCATCCTACATACGAAGTATATTATTTTATCTTATCTGCAGTGAATTGATCAAGCGTACAGGGTGTAGTTGAGGTTCGTTCTTTATCTGTGCTTTCATTCCAAAGATGGCTAATTTTCTAGGCTTTGTAGAGAAGCTGTTTAATAGAAAGACAAACTGGCAGTCGTTTTTTAGCGAATGGTATGATCAGCTCGCCTTTCCAAAATTTGAATTCTTATAAAGGATGGGTGGATAACATTAATGAACATATTCAAATAAACAGAAAACGCGAGTTTAATGTCTGTGTAGTGCAACATAATACTACGTAACAAAGAAACATTAGAAGAATCTGATGTAGATTTTTTCTTTCTAAATTTGAGGCTTTCTTGCCGACCAAATCTGGATCCTTGTTCATCACTCATCTTTTTGAATCTGATTGATGACGGGAGTTTGGGTGGAAGGAGATGGTCCTCCTGGTAAAGGGTTGACAATACGCAAGAACAAAAGACATAAGACAAGGTTCCATGAAGATGCTGATGATAGGAATGACACACACAGTGGTTTAGTGCAGACTGTTTTTCATACACATCAGCAACAACCTCTGGCCCATGCGGTCCGTTGGGAGCGTTTTCTGCCTCTTAAGGTTTTGCTTGTGGAAAATGATGAATGTACTCGTCATGTAGTTAGTGCACTGCTTCGAAACTGCAGTTATGAAGGTTTGGTTCTTTCCTTCTCAATTCCTTTTACATTTGTGAGTATGATTATAGCATGGTGTGATGTACGTACTTTTTCCAATTTATCCTATCCTTTTTTATACCTTGTTGGTTGGCATATACGGAGTAAAATATCAGCTAATTAAGTTTCCAGTATTTTGTTTCTAATTAGGCCCTGTTTTTTCCAAGGAAACTGGATTTTCCTCTGTTTGGCACATATAAACATTTTCCTGAAGATTTTTCTGAGTTTGACACCTGTAGGAAACCATTTCCTTAGATTCGTTTCACGTTTTTGACAAAATGCCTTTCTGCTTTCAGTGTTATTTATTTTTATGGGATAAACATTATATTATACTCCCTCTGTCCCGTAATTAAGTTCCTACTTTCCTTTTTGGGATGGTACATATTAAAGTTCCTACTTCAAACCTTTCCTTATTTGGCAAATGATTTGTTCAAACTGTGCACTCCACAGTAAAGTCAAATTTATTTTCTTAATATGTGTGAAGTCAAACCAGGAACTTAATTAAGAACCGGAGGGAGTACTATATTATTACGTAGTATATTATTATTCATGGAAAATAAAAACAATTTCAACGAAACGTGTTCATTTTATGCATGGCCTGATGCTAATTGAAGTCTTGTTTATCTTTTCTACTTTTAGTGTCTTTCTCTGTGAGCCATGGTACTTTTTGTTAGGGGTTAATGTATAACCCCACCAACAGCCCATTGGGTCAAGCCTGTCATATAACGCATATTGATTTGATAGAGTAATCCAACTCGCATAGGCTGGACATTGCAACCAAGTACCCTGGACAATATGGACTTAATTAAACCGCATGGACATTGGAAGCTGCGCTATCTTTGTCAAGCGCCCAGGTTCAAGCACTCTGGCAAGAGAGTTCCTGTGAGAATAGTTTTAAAAAGTATAGAGTAGGTGATATTGTATGGGCTCTGCATAAGTGTATATTAAATGTCAAATCTAACCAAGGGAGCCACATCTTATATGTATATATGTCCACACTTAGCATTTTTTGTTTTGTTCTGGAGGGTCATCGCATGGGGGTGATGTGGGGGTGTACAGAGTTCTATAGTAGACAACACTCAAAACCTATGGAGGTGTTTTTATCTACCCATAACACACTCGTTTCTCATATTTGCATTTCTCATTAGTGGATCTTGAATATCCTTCATTGCTAATGAGTGCATTGGGAGCATCTATTAATTTCAAGACACAGACTTGCATCTGTAAGAAAATGTATTAATGTTAAAAGAAAATATAGATATTGACAATATTGTTGCTTAAGCCCCCTCATCTGATTGGACAATAGCTTTTCCATCCTCCGGATGCAATTGTCAGAGTAATATTCATATTTCTATGAAGTATACAATTATACACATCACCTCTAAGAACTTCAGTCTCGCAATGTTTTACTCAAGTGGATGTATTTATATATTAAGACAAGAACCTAAGGCAAGGTCTAATTTGAAATGCATCCATTTTTAACTTTCATTCCTACTTATCGTATTTCTTAATCTTTGAACTTCTCTTTAAAGAAGTATATTGACCATATTTTGTTTTATAGAAGTAGAATCTCAGAAATAAATTGATTTTACAGAAAAATTAAATTAGCAATACACCCTTGTGGTGGGACCCTTCCCCGGCCCCCACCTTGCGTGGAGGCCTTCGTGCACTGGAAAAGTTAAATTCCTGGTACTCATATTTAATCTGTTTGAACATTCATCTTATGAAATTGAATATTAGTACACAAGTTTTATACCATTTTGTGTAGTTTTGCAACTCTTCATAGTTCATACTCACTGGCCACTTTTAATTTGAAATTGAGAATGTGCGACTTTGTTATTCATCGTATTGTTCTTATTGAATGTGAATCATGGTTTTTTTTATTAGATATTTCTTTTTCTATACGCTGTGCCAATTTCTGTTAAAGCATTCAAACATCTGGTTTCTTCATTCTCAAAGAATATTCTGCTTTAAATTACTGCAGTTACAGCTGTTGCAAATGGAGTTGATGCATGGAATGTTTTAGGTGATTTAACCAACCACATAGATTTGGTTCTAACAGAAGTAGCTATGCCATATTTGTCAGGCATTGACCTGTTATCAAAGATTGTGAACCACAAAACTCACAAGAGTGTCCCCGTGATCAGTGAGTTTTTTCCCTTATATTTAATTGTTTTTTTATGGACCACATAGCTAATATTTTCAATTCTTTTTAGCTGCTAGACTTAATGAACAGTGTGATTTGTGTGCAGTGATGTCATCAAACGATTCTATGGGAGTAGTGTTCAAGTGTTTGTCAAAGGGTGCAGTGGACTTTTTAGTGAAGCCTATTAGAAAGAATGAGCTTAAAAATCTCTGGCAACATGTTTGGAGGAAATGCCACAGTGTAATTTACATTTTACCTATTTCTTTTGTTATTTACCCTATTTCTGTAGCAAATTTATTAGCACTATGTTTATTCATCATTTTCTCACCCTTTTTCTCAGTCAGGTGGCAGTGGTGGCAGTGGCAGTGAAAGTGGTATACGTATCCAAAAGTCCACGAAATCTAAAAGCAATGGAGGTTCAAGCAATAATAGTGATGACAATGATGAAAATGCAAGTGATAATGGAAGTGGCACACAGGTCTCCTTCGCATCTGCAGATACTATGCAGAAAATGTATTTGAAAATTTTATGAAATACTCAAACTGTTGTCATATGTGTTGCCTGCAAAATCAATAGCCTTTAAAAAAGTATAACCAATTATCAGTTATTGATATTTGGTGTAAAGGTCATGAGGCTCTTGAAATTAGCACTGTGGTAGTTTCTTTTGAAAAATTAATTATAAAGCAAGGAAAATAAGCATGTGAAACGAATGATCTTTGACTTGGAATGTTTAAAAAGTTTTTTTCATTTTATTTGGCACAATCTGAGTTCTTAAGTATATTCCAATGCCAACTGTCAGTGTATTTCTGTTCCAAGACATGTCCTGAAGAATAAGATCGCATGCTGTAGATGACTAGTTGTGGATGGAGTCCACTATTTTAGTGTCAATTTTATAACTCTTTGGAACAATTCGTTGGGTGCTTAGTATTCTTTCTCTAATATTTTCACTAGTCTCACCACCCTTATTTGTTACAGGGTTCGTGGTCAAATCAGGCTGTTGAAACGGAAAACCCTCAGGCCATGTTGCAATGGGATGAATTAGCTGAAGCCCCTAACAGCAATTGTGCTCAGGCTATTCATTCAAGGCCACAAGCAGACATTTCAAACTGGGGTCCTGGAATTTCTGCTGGAGAGCACCGAGATGAGAAAGATGGACATGGTAAAATAGGTCTTCCTAACTCAACGCTATAAATTGTCCATATAAAATTTATTTTGGAAAGAGTTTTCCAGTGTCCTGAATTATTATATTTTTACGTTCTCTGCTTTCCCCTGATCTGAATGAGTAAGTGTATGATTTGGTATGAAACAGGAACTGCGTCAATGGGAAAGTATTTGCAGATAGGAGTAGCAAGGACCCCAGATTTACAGCTTAGTGGAGAGAATGGGTCAAAAGACTTCAATAAGTTATTGATTGGAAAGCTAGAGGAGCTTAACACAGCTGAGTTAAAGGGCAAGAATAATACTGACATTGATGTTTCCACCGGTCCATCCAAGGAAATAGGCACGACAAAGGATATGCCTTCACTTGAACTTAGTTTGAAGCAACACAGAGAAGTTGTAGATGCTGGAGCCGCACTGCAAGAACGCAACGTGCTGAGGCATTCGGACCAATCTGCATTCTCAAGGCATGAAATTTTGAAGTTCAACTAGTCAATAAAACCAAAACATTTTCTTTCTACTATTTTAGTTGTTAAGCATTTGGAGGATTATCGCATCATGAATCATATTGCATTCTCTTCATTTCCATGCTCAGGTATGGTGGTGGTACTACTACTACATCAACATCTGCTAACCCTCAGGCAACTGCTGGAAATGTCGGAAGCTGCTCTCCTGTTAATGATGATGATGATGATAATTATAATAATAATAATAGCTCTGTAGGAGCAAAAGCAGGATCAATGAATAACTTAAAAAGCATGCCCAATCAGCGTTCTAGTGGTGGTAGTAACAACATTGATATGGGCTCATCAACTGGTAAAAGTTTAGCCCAGCCATCAAAGATCCCTTTTGGTAGGCCTCATTTTTTCCTTTTCAGCTGACATTTTTTCTACAAACACTGAGAATTAAAAAAAGTAGTGTTAGAGCTTTTATTTGTGCTTTATTGATATTTTACCTCTACTTTTGGATATTGTTTCTAAACAAAGTAACATCATATAGGAATAATTCACAGGTCAACCAAGCATTCTAGCCCAGCTGGTTGTGAGGTTACCGTGCCTAGTGGGAGGTATCGAGTTCGAAACCCTCTAGGCACATAAGGGTTTGAAACTCAATGGAGTGAGTTTCAGCCCTGATTACTCTAGGCCCCCCAGCCCCCTCCCCCAGACCCCCTGGAGTAAAAAAAAAGAATAATTCACAGGTCATGTGCGAAAATAGAAGTGTTCTTATATTGTGTTAAAATTGGAACTTATCTGGTCCTATTTTTCATTGATTCTATTTGAGGCAATGCACTATGTTTTAGTCATATTTATATTTTTTTGTAATTAATTTAAACATTTATGTTTTTTAAAATTACTCAGATAATTCAGCAGATTCAGTAAAATCACTTAATCTGTAGGTGTAAATGTGCATCATCCTTGATTCCTTGCTCTTCCCCCCCCCCCCCCCCCCCACCCCCCTTGCAGGAAAAGTTGATTCAGTAGCACAAGCAGCATTGGTACAGTCAAGGGTGTTGATGCAACAGCAACAGGTTCAAGTTCAGCACCACTACCATCATTACCATCACCATCATCACCATGTGCACAGTCAGCAACAGAATGGCTCTTTGCCTGTTAGAGAAAATGGTGTGGATGATCCAAACGGCATGCTAGGGGATGAAGAAAACTACACAAGTGCATCTTGGAGTAACAATGGAAGCAATGGGCAGAACGAGAGCAACGCAGGTGTAGTTGGTGATGAAACTAACAACAACATGGATTCTGAAGATGATGAGATGGGTGCAAAATGCACAGCTGAGGGTGGCGATGGGAGTGGTAGCGGGAGCAGGAGCGGAGTGATGGACCAAAGCCGACAAATGCAAAGGGATGCTGCCTTGTACAAGTTCAGGCAAAAACGAAAAGAGAGGAACTTTGACAAAAAGGTAGTTATTTTAAGGGTCTGTTTGGATGGAGGGTTGTGGCGGCGAAGGCTACATGTGTGTGTATTTGAGATTTTATGAAATTAAAAAAATGATATGTTAATTTGTGTCATGTGTGCGTATATTAAATTTAACCAAGCTTTGAAGTCCTCCCCCCCCCCCCCCCAAAGAGAAAGAAAGAAAAAAGGCAAAAAGAGAATTATTCATCCAAACAGATCTCAAAGGTTACCACCATGCATCACCCAGCTTTGAAGCATTCTTTAAGCGGCATAAATAACAACACATCACTGTGTATCATTTTTATATGATCTCTGTTGCTTTTCAGGTTCGGTACCAAAGCAGGAAGAGATCGGCGGAACAGAGGCCACGCATCCGGGGACAGTTTGTGAGCCAACAGCCTGTTTTGTCGGATCCTAACAATAAAAGCATAACCAATGATTCAAATAGCTGATGATGACATATGTATTATATGTGTACATGACGATGGTTAGCATCGATTATGATTGCCTAGATGAGGGAGGAGATCTGGCAGCATGCAGTCGTGTATTGGTTGGATCGAAGTTCTGACTACGAATAACAAGACAACATCTTCACAGACTAGAAAATAACCCTCTGTACTAATTCACGTGGTTGTACCTCCCTGCTAAGGTCGTAGACCTCCAACTTAGTTTCATTTCTTTATAAAATTTATTCTCGCCTGCTTTCATATTCTACCTTGCTTACAGTATGTATCATCTATCTGTACTCTGTAGTAACCCTGCATGGCTGCATGGAGTGCATCAGTGCATGCCCATCCCAAGTTCCCAACTAGAGGATACACATTTTACTTTAATTACCATTTTGAAGTAAATTCATGTAGTCTAGGTTGGTTGACAAAAGCTTTGGATATGTACAGAGGGTTATTTTCTAGTCTGTGAAGATGTCAGAACTTAGACTACATGAATTTCTAGTAAATTCATGAAGCAGATCTAGCTAATTGGTTGACAAAAGCTTTGGATATGAGCTCTAGGTTGGGTTGGTCATGGACTCATGGGTGTGTTAGCCATGGAAGTAATAGAAGTAATAGACTGAATAGACTGAATATATACTTTGAAATAGAATATTTCAAATATGTTCTTCCACAGAAGAAGTATAACTGAAATTGACATTCTTTTGTTGACATGTGGGCGAGTGTAATCCTATGTTTAAAAAACCGACCCGACCTGGCCGGGTTGACCGGAACCCGGTGACCCGGACAAAAAACCGGTTCGGTTTTTTCAAAACCCAGAAATGGTCAAAAACCGGAAAAACTCGGCTGACCCGGGAAAACCCGGTCAAGACCCGGACCCAAGAAACCCGAAAAACCCGGTAAAACCCAGTTTTTGGGTGTTTTTACCAAAAAAAAGTAATTTCTTTTTTATTTTTAATGCATTTTTATACCAATAAAATTGCAATTTCAATACCTTAAAAAGAAAAACTACGTAATATATTTATATATTTATTTAATAATGAACATCATGCCAAATTATAATACAGATATACAATAAACATAAAAATATCATTATATATTTTTATAAGATCAAAATATGCATTGAAATATTATAAGAGTGTATTAAATGCTTAATAAGTAGTATTGTTAGTTGATTATTATGAATGATAACTAATTTTTATTATAATTTTATATATAATTATATGTTTACTATTATTATATAAACGTATAATCATTGACTGGTTTTCCGGCGTTGACCGGGTTGACCCGTGACCCAGTCATGTGGCCGGGTCACTCTCCGGTCCGGTTTTTACAACATAGGTGTAATCTTAATCCAAAACTAACCTGCTCGAAATCGGAGTGAAATCCTTCCAGATCCGTCCTTATTCACTTATTGCCATTTGTGTGTGACTAATATGTCAAAAATAAATACTACGTATTTTAATGTATATTTTCTGCTATGTACTATTAGTCTATTACTGCTATAGTGCTATACATACAGTACACACATACAAATGCACTCCCATCCTGATTGTGATGTGGTGGGTATCTTGACTAATGTGACTTAAAATAAAAGGAAAACTCCAGCTTGTACATTTTGTGTACACCCCCTACTTTAAAAGTGCACAAAAACAATTTGCCTAAAAGGTAGAAGTTGTCTAGCTATTTACATAGATAGATAGAATGGTTGAGATACTAAAACATGATTGATTTACCAAAGTAATAAACAAATCATGGATTTTTTTTTCAAATTATAGACTTGTATGTTAAAAATGTGTGATAAAGCAAGACTTTGGCTCTCAAGAGTCACGACTTTATCGTATGATCGGACCAAATTAAAATAAATATTTATAATTTATTATTGAATTTTAAATTTGATTATCATACATTCTGAACTGAACTCAGGTAGTCATATAAGGGAGTGTTTGGAACTGATTCTGCTTCTGCTTCTTTTTTTAAAGCAGAAGTAGAATCAGAATCAGTTTTCAGAAGTTGGACCCCCAGCTTCTAAAAAAAATGATTCTAGGAGTAAATTAGAGCACCAGAATCACTTCTGCACTTTCACCCAAACACAACAGCTTCTGCTTCTGATCCCTCAAGGAGCAGAAACAGTTTTAAGAATCAGATCCAAACACCCCCTAAGTATCTCAAAAACCAAAATGCACACACACACAACAAACATACACATATATCAATTCCAAAGATCCATATAAAAGGTTCATGCTTTCAAATTTTTGCACATTTGCTCTTTTATGATGAATAAAGAAATGAATGACTAATTATTAATTCCTTATAGTTTTAAGTGAGTATTCAGATCGATTTTGATCCGATCAGACACTTTTTGGTTTAAATTCGAAAGGATCTAGAATTAATATCTCCATATATGTATGTAAATGCATACCTAGTTATCAAGTTTGATTTGATTAGTGCTCAACTCTATACAACATTATTTGTGTAATGCCTTGTGTGATTTCTTGATTGAAATATATAATAAATGCATCGTTCCTATTTTCTTTTCAATTCCATGATGAGAAACAAGATCAAAAGACAGACCATGACTAACCTGAACTAATTAAAACCATACTTTGTAGCCTCCATACTCTATACCAAAACTCTTGCAATTTCATGAATTTCATCAAAACATGCACAATGGAAATACCAATAGAAATACTACCAACGCCACAACATTGCTGGATCCGAGGAAGCAATTCAAATAACGTTGTAAATGACTTCACCAATGGAATTGAATTTCACAAATAATAATCCCATCCTTAATGAATTCTTAATTCTGTCTCTATGTCTGTCTTAGGTGAATTAAGCAGTCCGAGCAAATGTAGCTAGGCCAAGAGAGGAGAAACAAAGAGCTAGGAGAGATAATTTCTCAAACATGCATTTTAATTGTGCTCAATGTGCTAATTTCTTATTTCTCTTTCTTTCTTAATTAATATTAATAATATATGTGGCCAATGTATGTCTTCTCAAGAAAATATTCCGTATATGTATGGCGTATATTGTGGCTTAATTGTTTGCATCTCCCAATTCACACGTTCACTTCGATCACCACGTTTTATGCATGCTTTAATTTGCTTTGTTTTATGAGAAAAAAATATTAACCTCGTCCCAAAATTATCTTCATTCTTTTCATTTTATTAATCCGTACTCCCTCCGTCCCGCTATGATTGTCCCGTTTTACCTTTTCGGTCCGTCCCACTAAGATTGTCTCATACCTTATTTGGTAAAGTTTGTGTGATTCTAAATCATTCTTACTTTATTCTTACTTTATCAATTCAATATCAACCACATAAACTCACTTTTATTAATAACCGTGCCACTTTCTATTGTCCTAAACTTAGGGGGACGGAGGTAGTATTATTTATTATTCCGTATTATTTAGGATGGTATAGGGACAATCCGGCTCCTATTTATGAAACTATAAACAGTCTGTTAATAAATTAATAGACTGTCAGAAGATAATATGTGACCGAATTAGACATTGATGAGTTTTTTCATTTATGTGATTAATTAATTAATTAATTAATTAATTAATTAATTAATTAATTAATTAATTAATTAATCTTACTACTTTTATAATCATGGTACATCATTTTATATATCACTTTGGGATAAATACTTGAGCAAAAAATTATTACTCTCTCCGTCTCATTTTACATCACTTGCTTCCCTTTTTGGATTGTCCCACAATAAGTTTCACAATTCCTTTTTTGAAAAGAAATATGTGGTCTATGGTATTTCACTTGTTTATACTCAAATCTCAATTAAAATTTTTACCTTTTCAACCAATTTATTAATAACAATACCAACAAATTAGGACATACAAAATAGGACGGTGGTAGTTCAATTTTGGTACTTTATGAAATTAAATAAATACAAAAATAACTAATAAAGAAAAGATTTGGTACCATTTTTTTTAAATTATTGTTACTATTATCAATACATGAGATGAAAACGTATTACTAAAATTAGAGATTTTATTTTATATAACTTGACTACATTTTAGGAAGGAAATTTAAAACCTAGTCATTTTATTCTTTATACAGAAATTGCTCTAAATAGGATTAAAAACGTTTTGAAATTCAAAAATAGGATTATCATGTTTTTATTATCTGAATAGGAGTAATCTGTCAAGTTTGGGAAAAAATGCCATGTTTAAAGTCTAGTAATGCCAAACTTGGCAGAAATTTATTCCTATTCAGCAAATAAAAAAACATGATAGTCCTAATTTAAAATTTCAAAACGTTTTTACTCCTATTTTGGGAATTTTCTCTTATTTAAAATATATAAAGATAAAGATACAAGAGGTGTTTGGTAAATATAGCGTTTCAGGCGAAAAAAGTATATGGTTTGACCACTTTTGGCGTGTTCGATAAGTGAAAACAATATTTGATAAATAACGGTCCGACACTAGCGTTTTTGGATGAAATCGCTAAAAGGAAACGCTGCAAATTGGAGAGTTTTGAGTTACCATTTTGAAAAATGGTAAATATATTAATTTTTTTGGCCAAATAGCTAAAATACCAAACATCTTCTGACAACCTATCAAACCCGCAGATTGAATACACTATTGACAACCCACTAACAAAATCCGCTATCCGCTAACCGCTAAATGCCAAAGACACTCGCAATCAATTTTGGAAATGATAAACGAGGCTGACTTAGCTTGATAAGAGCCTTCCATTTCAATAATTCAATCTACATTATATTATGGAATATATACTTTTCCACAATCCAAAGATCTTCCAATTAATATTATTAATTGGAATATTTAATATCACTCTTTTTAGAGGTATAAAAATGGTAATTAAGTTAATGCGGGTCTATTAATTAAATGTGTATACATGTACATATAAATATGTATATATTTTTTAACTCACATATAAAGATGTATATAAAAACCTTGTTTAGATCATGTTTTCATTTCAACTGAATTCTAAGTCATATTTTACATAAATATTTATATGACATGTTATATGATATGATGTGTGTAATCCTGATGAATACAATTTAAAAGTTCATATAAATATTCTTACTCATTTATATTGGATATAAAAGAAATTGTCTTAAATAGGAGTAAATTAAAACATTTGTAAATTTCAAAATAGAAATACTATGTTTTTACTCCCTAAATAAGAATAATTGTCCTATTTTGACATAACAAAGAATTAAATATGACGGTATTTTCAAATCTTAACATTCATTACTCTTATTTTAGTTATTTACACATAAACTAATACATAGTGCGTGTGTGTATTTGTGTGTATGATTTCGTTTTTTAAATAACGGTAAAAATATTTTGAAATTACAAAATAGGAGGTCATATTTGAGATCATCTATGACCTACTCGCTTTCAAGTGTACTTGCTTACATAAATTAATAATATTAGGAATATAAATTAAATTTGGGAATATTATAAAGGAAATACTTTTAATTAATACTCTCTTTGTCCATATATAAAAGTCCTGGTTTCTATGCACGCATCATAAGTAAATGATTTTTTTCCTTTGACTTCCTGAAATACTTCTTTTATGGAGGTTAAATTTTACTATAGAGTACATTAATTTGAAAATTTTTAACATTGTTTTGCACTATATTGTCACTAATATTTAAGGATATAAAGTGATATAAATTTGTTTATCAAATAGGGATATTGGACTTTACTTAATTAGGAACATCTATATATGAAGGTAGGGGTGGAGCCACTTGATATCACTGAATCCCCATATATAATTGGACCATTATTGGTGTACACTAGTTGTACACAAAATGTGTACATTGTCTGTGTACACAGACAATTTGACATGAAGTACTGCCCCTTTTTAAACGAATTGCCTGTGTACACAGACAAATAGGGTGGTTTTGTGTACAATTTGTGTACAAGTCATGTACACTAAGCATTTTCCTATATAATTACACGGATCCCATAATTGATATTCAGACAACTTTCTCAAATTCAAAGAGCTAGAAAATCAACAATTATTCAGTTCAATTAAAATGAATATTAATTTGCAATTTACTAATTTTTATTATTGGTGTTGGTCTACTGATGAGGGAACACCCTACACCTGAACTTGCTTGCTTGGGAGAGGCCAATGTATCACTACTCCGTATCTGTGTGTATCTGGGAGATACGCAATAACTACATACCCATGTTTTAGTGATATAGACACCAGACATGGTAATCACCAATGATATGTAAGGTTCAACAAATGTCCAAATATATTTTTCCGGAATGTAATATATTCGGTGGAGGATATAAGGGCAACTCCAATGCAGTTGTGCATTGCTGCTGAGATGGCAAAGTAATGAACATGGTGTATTCCAAATGTGGACAAAAAATTTAGGGAATAGTAGGGTCTATTCAATTTGAACTCCAATGCAAATAACAAAGAAAAACTAAATAAAAAGCAAAAATGAAAATGAATGGCCGAAAATCCTAGAGGCCTACATATGCCTTGTTGGCTTTGTCAGAGGGTGAGACCCAAGGTCTCAATATGGACCTCCTCCTTGACATTGTTCCTAATTATTAAGTGCCAAGTCACCTACAATGGAACTACATTATTTTGCATTGGAAAGTAGACTTTCATTTTAATTTTGCATTTGATGATGTGGAGGGGCAATGCACCTCTTCATTGGAGTTGCTCTAACCTACTACCCCAGTACCCCTCCCCTATTGACCTATTCGGCTATTCAGATAAAAAAAATATAACTACTCCCTCCATAACTTAAAAACATTCTCATTTCAAAATTAGGTAAATTAAGAATAGTGAAAGAAGATACTACGTATAAATTATTGAGGACATGATAAGAAAATAGTGAAATAATGTGATGGAATTGAAAGATAAATAAAAAATAGTAGGAATAGTGTATTATTTTATCAAAATTATTTTAGGGAAAGATGAGAAGATTATTTTTTGTTACGGACAAAAAAGAAAAATGGAACATTCTTTTGTTACAGAGGAAATATTAGATAAGTTAATAGTTCTGTCAAAAATCTAGCATATGTGAATTGTTACTCTAAGAATAAGACATTTAAGAATATATGAAGCGGGTCAATTTGATGAACTTAGACATGTTGGTTACTCCTACTATATATACAAATTTAGGGTAATACATTTGTTGATGAAAGTGATTTAAAAATCAACAGACATTGCTAGTAGCTTAATTGGTAAAAATGATAGAGGATTATCAATTTGTTTTTATTGCAGTTGATAAAAGCGTATTGCGATTGATCAATATGTTGTCAAATTTCTTAAAATAAAAAGATCAAGATATTCTTGAAGTTGTGATCTTGATTAAGAACACAAAAGGTAAAATTTCAAGTTTTGAGAGAAAATAAATTAGAAGATTTCTTGAAAGATGTTAATAATTATTTTGTTAATTAAGAAAAACGTTAACATTCATAACATGGAAGATATGAATCGTTGTTGTAGATGTGTACATTATCCAATAACAAATTATCATCACTTTGGAGTTGTTATATCATCATCATAATCATAGTCATCATCATCATCATACTTCAGTTTTGGACATGGTAATTTTGTGGCATGATGTGTAACGTTCAACACGATAGCAGTTCTGAATTGAAATTCCGAGTATCTGTAGTGTAAAACTAACTTGAATTCTAATGCAAAAACAGAAATGGTGCAAGAATGATTCAGTTATAATCCATATCATGTTTTTCTTTTTAAAAAATGAATATTATTGTTTAGAACTGTGTTAATTGGTAGAAAACTAGACCTATAGTCCTATATACATATATGTAAGTCACTTCAAACTGATAATATCCTATTTCCGTATAAAAAAATTGTATGAACGTACGAACTAGACTAATAGATTAGTCTAACACCCGATCCGACCCGTTTCCCTCCATGCAACCGTGCCTAGCTTGAGAAAAATTCTAAGCGCCGCTGTATATATATGATAGGTATGTGATAGGTTATCTTTACTTTTGATTAAAGTATACGACATTATTTTACCAAAAAAAAAGTATACGACATTATCTTCTCAAGTTGGATGTTATCTACTTATAACTCTATCTTTTGTAAGAAAAAACTATTGATAACTGTATCCAATTTATACTTTCAAGTCTTGTCGAGTGTAAGGATGTTTTCTTTTGGACTGAAATTTGCTGGTCTGGTCTGATCTGATCTGGTCTGTTTAAATCTGGTCTGGTCTGTTTAAGTCTGGTCTGGTCTGAACTGGTCTGGTAAATGTCTGGTCTCTGTGTATTTTATAACTACGGAAGTCTGGTCGGGTCAGGTCTGGTCTGTTTAAGTCTGGTCTGGTCTAGTTTGATCCGTTTAAGTCTGGTCTGTTTAAATCTGACTGGTATGGTCTGGGATTGAAAACAATCCAAAAGAAAACCTCCTGACTTTAATAACTCTGACGATTATAAAAAAAATTACGAAGTGCATAAATTTGTGACCTAAAGCTTTCCTTTTAGCCTACCTCAACCATAATTCCTCGATCCATGTAAAATAGCAACTCCTTTTAGTCAAATACCGAATTTCATAAAATTTACTCGGTCACATAAAATTATGTATTCAATAAAGTGTTATATAGATACATCTACCTATGAAAAACAATCAGATGAGCCCTGAAACCCTTTTGACAATCTGGTAATCCCGATTTTAGCGCACGTCTGACCACCTTTTCAAAAAAGATTATAAGGTTGACGTGAAATGCTTCACCAAGATTGTCTTAAATATAGCTATATAGGTAGAGAAAAATAACGACACGTTAGCTAAAATCAAGATTATGAGGTTGTCAACGAGCTATTACGACTCGTTTGTCAATTTGGATGTTCCCAAAAACAATTTATCATTTCCTCTCACTAACAATCATTACCTCTTTCTTTTTAAGGATGTTTTCTTTTGGACGGTTTTCAGTCCCAAACTAAACTTCCGTAGTTATAAAATACACAGAGATCAGACGTTTACTAGACCAGACCAGATCAGACCGGCAAATTTCAGCCCAAAAGAAAACCTCATAACTACAATCATATATTTTGACTTTATTCTTAACTTTTAAACTTCTATCAAGTCAAATTAACAAGAGTTTTATGAGATTAATGGAGTATTGTATAAGGAAAAGTGAATTTCTTTCTTTATGAGAGTAATTTTTTAATACTTCGTATACAACTAAGACGCAAATGGTCTGGGTTAGGTGATCCAACTTCTTCCCTTCTAAAAGCAGCTATCCAAAATCGAAATTCTGGCAACAAAATCTCTCTATCTGCAATAAGACAAAACACAAATTGAGACTGTCTAGAGCAAAAAGACATAGAAGAAACAGATGCCCAGACAGTATCAATGGAATGCATGGGATTAGTAGAAAAATGGTAATAATCCAATTTGGTACTATCTGAGCAGAGACTACTGATTCAACTAAGAATTGGTATTATTATAATACAAACCTCACTAGCTCCTTTACTTTCATCCTCCTCCACTCTTAGTGCCCTTTTCCATGGCTTTCTTCTCTGCAATTGTTGCCTTCTCTACTCTCATCTTTCTGTATTCTCCTCATCCTTTCTGGGAATCCTTTTACTCCCCGCTCCTTGTTTTGACCTTCGCCCTCCTCCTTTCCATCCTCCGGCTCATCGCTTCTCGTAGACCCGCCCGGTTCGGCGAAACCGAGGTCGGTCCGGTTGGACCATCTTCATGTGATTCTCCCGCCGATGCGAAATGTCCGGGCCCTGACCCGAACCCGATCCACGACGGCTTGATTCTGGATCGGAATGCGAGATCTGCAGAAGAGGCGATAGACGAAGAGTACGACGGGGAAAACGACGGCGTTCTGCACGGGAAGAGAGGTCTGGATCTGGGCGCCGCCATTGAGAGGTACGATTCCCTCGCGTTGTGCTATCCAGAAACTGATTCCGACTGTTCTTCGTCGGACGGGGAGTTTACGGAGATCGGAGAGTGGCGGGACGAGTATTCCGGTGGGTGGGAGGAGGAGAGGGAGGAGATGATGATTGAGATTAAACTGGACTGGGAGCGAAGGCCTAACAAGGTAGTTGTGGAGGAGGACAATTTGATCGAGATCGACCTTTCCCCTAATCGCGAGTTTTGTGATGAGTTTTCAGATTAGTGTTCATGCACGTTCTTTCCCAAAATTGCTAATGTAATTAATTTTGTTGATTTTGTATTATAAATTAGAAATAATATGTAATTTCCTTGTACCATAATGATTTTTCATTCTATCATTATATGAATTAATTCGCTTTTTGGTTCTACGAGTTTTGTGCTAATTCTATCTTTATATCACGTCTTTCACTTTGTTCAATTTTGATACTTGATTAATGTTTTCTTGACCGTTCGTGATCTATTTTCGCCGATTTGAACCATAAAAAACAATGCCAGAAGAACTATATATGGGCGAAAACTCAATATTCATATATCAAAAGTAGACAAAGTGAAAAATGTGAATTGAATGTGTAATTGATCTATAATTCGTACGACTAAAAATGAAATTTATTCTTCATTATATCCAGTAATTTGTCACTGTCAACTTAAATCCAAAGGATCAACTCAGTCAACACCGGAAGGAGCCGGTCAACATTTATAATGTTGTATAGCAATAAATATTGTACAATTAAAATAAAATGTATTTAGTTTTCACAATAATCAAATACTTTTAATACTTACTAAACAGTGAAAACACGTACATTATATTTGTTTAAGCATTTTTACGTAGATTTGGAATACCCAATAAAAACATTATAATTAGTACTACCTCCGTCCCAGGGAGAAGTTCCCAATTTTCTTTTTTGGCAGTCCCAACAAAAAGTTCTCATTTCCTTAAATGGAAAGTTATCATACATAAAAACAGTGCCAAACAGTGCAAAACAGTGCCAAACAGTGCCAAACAGTGTCGAAACAGTGCCAAACAGTAAAATTTACCCCTCAGTAACTTTATATCCTTAATATGTGTGAAAGTCAACCCGGGAACTTCTCCCTGGGACGAAGGGAGTATATTATATCGATACAATTTTTTTTAGCATTTTAACACATACTCCCTCCGTCCCCTTTTAAATGTCTCATTTTACCATATTGGGATGTCCCTATTTAATTGTCTCATACCTTATTTGGTAAAGTTTGTGTGGCTCAAAAGCATTCTTACTTTATTCTTACTTTATTCTTACTTTATCAATTAATATCAACCACACAAACCCACTTTTCTTAAAACTCGTGCCACTCTCCTCTGGGACTTTTAAAAGGGGACGGAGGGAGTATAATCTTGACGTATAATAAGGATATTTTTACTTGGACTGTAATTTGCTGGTCTGGTCTGGTTTCTTTGTATTTTTATAACTATCCAAGTCTGGTCTGGTCTGAACTGGTCTAGTCTGGACTGGTCTGGGACAAATTACCGTCCAAGTAAAAACTTCCTAATAGCTATAATACTCCATAATATATTACTCCGTAGTATATTAATTAAATATCATTAAATATTAAACATGGTTTTTCCTAAAATATTACTAATACATAAGCCATGGACAAAATGTGACTTAGTAGCTTATAGTTACTATAATGTTTAAGGTTTACATCATGATCACTACATCATGATAACTTTGAACATAATTATAGTAACTAAAAGTTATCAAATCACATTTTTGTCCGTAACTCTTACAAGAGTAAGGATGTTTTTACTTGGACTGTAATTTGCCCCAGACCAGTCCATACCAGACCAGACCAGACTTGGATAGTTATAAAAATACAAAGAAACCAGACCTTACCAGACCAGACCAGACCAGTTCAGACCAGACCAGACCAGCAAATTACAGTTCAAGTAAAAACATCCTAATATCGTAACTATTACATTTTAAATTGCCATTTTATATATAGAAATGCTTTTAAAGGGTATATTATGCGGTTCGTTGAGCTGGTTGTTAACACGAGGGATCGATTCCCAACTCTAGGGATTTTTGGTATGGCTTGAGTTTCCGTCACTACCCGATGTCCCAATGCTCTGATTCTTGGTCGTTCCAAACCTGATCTGGATCAGGTCTGAGCGAGCTAATGGTTTTTGCTGGATTAGCGGGTTATAAGGTAATCAAACTGGTTTGGGTGCCGGGTCACCGGTTTATGGGCTGATCCATTATCCCATTTGATCCTCTTAACATAGTTTTTTTAGGGAATTCTCTTAACATAGTTGCGAATATGAAACTTTTCTATGATAAAGTATGTGTGATCCATAGTATATATATCCGGGTTCATTATAATTTTATTTTTTTAATCTCATGAGAAAAAGAAAATAATTACTCCGTTTATTTAGAAGCTTCAAAGTCTCTCATTGGACCTTAAGGTCATTATGGAATTTCCAACATACAAATACATTCAGTTTTGGCACATACTTGATACTTGTATGTAAGTATGGCTATATTGATACTGTGGAGTCCCTTTTTTACTACTTGGGTATTGAAGTGTTAAAGTCTGTCGAGCTAGTAATGCTGAATTTAATTGAATCGACCAAAATTACAAAAATTCTAATTATTTTAGTTAAATTATGGAAATACTATAACTAAAATATACGGAGTACTACGTATTTTATTATTATGATCTCGAACTTGGCTTATTTCGATGTTACATAATTCATTGTACTTTTTTGTTCTTCCGGTGTAGGCTACTTGTAATTCTCAAATAAACGTAAAAGATTTTCCCCATTCTTGATATAAGATTTATCACCCTACGATTTCTGATTTTGGAATTTGGAGTAGACTCTGAATAACTTGTTCACAAGAATCTATTCCCAAATCTTATCTTATTCGATACAGATTTTACCACTGAAAATTAACGTAGCAAAATATGCCAGAGGGAGGAGGAATATTGTAATTTTATTGGATCCAACTGTTATGTCTCACAAATGTTGAAGTTCAGCATATGCTACTCGTATTATTCCATCTATTCGGGTATCAAATGAGTGCAACTTCCCATTGAGGCATTTAGGGTTGAAATAACCATTCATTGTAAAGTAAGCTCTTTTGCGGAATGAGTTTATAATCATTAAATTCGAATCGATTGAAATAATGTACACATGAGTATGTTTCGAATTTAAATATTCACATAGGGTGAATCGGGGTAAAAAAATGGACGTTTTATTGTAAAAGGCATTCTCTAATGCATATATCTTCAGAAATATTATGGGCCCTCCAATAACCTCCATTATATTATATGAACGAATAGCTTTTATGACGTACATAAGCTATATGACTTCATGGTAAGCTCTTAAAATTGGAGTTGACATTTGGAAGGGTATAAAATTACATGCATCTTCTTCTACATTGGAGTCATGTCTTGCAAATGAGTCATCTCCCGGCCTTTGATATATAATGTTTTGGCCCATATATCAAGTAGACCATTTAATTTCTTTAACATTATGACTCAAAAGATCTGTTTACAACGTTTAAATGTCTATTGTTTTCTCCTTACTCAAAAGGAGAGAAATAGTATACAAATAGAAGAAGGTTGAAAAGCATCATTGATTAATTACGGAAATTATTTGAGTAAAAGTGTAAACAAGTAACCTCAAGTTAGCTCGTGAAAAATTTTAGATTTATGGTGAAAGAGTGGTGGTAGAGAGGGATGACAAAAAATAGTAGACATAAATCTTTTTCCACTCATGCTATAATATATAACTCGAACACGCCCCAACAGATGAGGAGTGCGTATATGGTACATCCGGCTGTACGGTGAGCACCGTACAGCCGGCTCAGTAACAGGCCCAAAGGAAAAATAGGAAAACAATTCGGTGGCATTTTTGTAATTAATGTGAAAATCGTGAATTATGCTAAATGAGCATTAGTGTACTGTTAATGAGCAATAGTCCAATTTTAATGAGCACCGTGTTAGTACAAGAAAACTGATATCACAACTAAACAACGGTGGCATTTTTGTAATATCAGTGAAAATCGCGATTTTCATTAGATGAGCATTAATTTATTTTTAATGAGCATCAAATGTATTCTATTGAGTATTAAGAGTCGAATAAAGAGTACTGTGATATCGATTTCATATATTGCAATTCACTTTCTTTTTCTTATTTTTTCATTTATAAAAACTCATTATATTATATCTATAATTAATTCCCATGAATTTCAATATGCGAATCTTATGCAATATGGTACTTTTGAAATATGCATTAGTATAACATTTTAAAAATGAGCATAACATGTGTACCAATGGAGCATATGTAACTTACAAAATGAGCAAAAATATGAAAATCATAAGGTTTGTTAGTTGGACGTCACGACATTTTCATTGAGCATCAAACCTCTTATATTGAGATGAAAATAACGCTTTCTATTAATTGAGCATTAATGAACTTTCAATTAGCGTTAGACCTATTATATTGAATATTAGGAGTCTAATATTGAGCATCGTAATCTCCGATTCAGATCTTTTAATTCACTTTCTTTTTATATTCTTTTTCTTTTATAGAAACTCATTACATTATATCTACAATCAATCCCTATGAAGTTCAATATGTGAATATAATTTAATCTGATACATTTGAAATATGCATTTATATGACATTTTAAAAATGAGCATAACATTATTATTGATTGAGCATATGTAGCTTACAAAATAAGCATTAATATGAAAATAATAAACTTTGTTAGTGAGCATCAAGACATTTTTCATTGAGCATTAAACCTCATCTATTGAGTATTAGTAGAGTGCAATTGAGTACTGGTTGAGCATTCATAAATTATAAAATGAGCATTAGTATGATAATCATAAGTTTTTTTTAATTAGTTGAGCGAGCATCAAGACGTTTTTATTGATCATCAAATTTCCTCTATTAAGTATTAAAAACATGCGATTGAATATCATGGTCTGTGATCTCGTGTATGTAATTAACTCCTACTTCAATATAATGTAATATGTTACTTTTGAAATATGCATTGATATAACATTTTAATATGAGCATAACATCAGTACCAAATGAACATATATAACTTACCAAATGAGCAATGATATGAAAATCATAATCTTTGTTAGTTGAGCATCAAGACATTTTCATTGAACATCAAACATGCTCTATTGAGTATCTGGCATTGTGAGTTGAGAAACAAGACATTTTCAAAATGCGATTAATTAAATATCATGATCTCTACTCCCATGTTACAATCTACCTCTTATGTGAATCTAATATGTTACTTTTGAAATAAGCATTAACATGACATTTTAAAATGAATATAAAATCGGTACTGGATGAACATATGTAAAAATTTAAAA